CAATTCTGACAGCACGGAATTTTCCCGTGCACCAGGTGCAACCAAACAAAATTTAACGAGCAACTCAAGCAACATAAGCTCTTTGGGACTACAAAACGATGGGTAAGTAAAAATACCCTTTCTAAAAATATTCTCACCCCAAAACTAATTTACAAATTCTTTTGCTTGAAATTAAATATTGAAACTATTGCTTATCCGAAAAATCAAAATGAAATAGATTTTTTGTCAGCTAAAATAATATTCAGATTCTCATAGCTTTTACGATTATTAACTTAGTTAAATTAACTCGTTAACTTCTTTTGAAAATTCAGTATACAATACAATAACGAAAAGGGGAGGTTTAACGAGCAAAGAAATCCCCTAGTTCTTAGCTACCTGCATAAACCGTTCCCAAATATAGTGTTTCTAATGTAATTATTTATATTTTTTCGTATTCTTTTCTATTCTGGGGTATATATGTATGGTTTCTTCGGCTTGCAGAAGCTAGCTTCCGCTGTTTACTAAATATTTCTATAAATAATAACATTTCGTTAAAGTACATGGTCAACAGGACGCAACATTGGGGACGGTTGGCCTGATCCATCATCTGATAACGAGAATAAAGACTGGTCAGTTGCTCAGCCAACTTCAGCAGCAACTGCTTACACGGACCTGGTCCAAGAGTTCGAGCCAGGCAAGCCATGGAAGGTAAAACTGTTTAATTACATAAAACCGAAACATATCCAAGCAGAAGTTTGTTCTTAAGGGTTCTCAGATCAAAAGCATAGAAGACGATCCCAGTATTACTCCTGGAAGCGTTGCTAGATCTCCACTATCCATTAATTCGACGCCAAAAGATGCTGATATATTTGCCAATACCGGCAAAAACTCACCGACTGATTTGCCGCCACTAAGTTTATCATCGTCTACTTGGAGTTTTAATCCCAACCAAAACTTTCCGAGGTAATTGTAAAATGATGTTACAATTAGTATGACATAAAACTGAACACTCTTGTTCCTTTTATAAACGGTATAGTTGGTCTGACAACAGTCAGCAATGTGCCGCCACATCTGAGCTTTGGACAAGCCCCCTGAATAAGTCGTCATCTCGAGGTCCCCCGCCAGGATTGACTGCCAATTCAAATAAATCTGGTAACGGAGGAAATAGTAGTACCTCAACACCATCTACTATAACCGGCGGTTCTAATGGATGGCTACAGGCCCGAAGTGGCGGTGTTCAAACAACAAATACAACATGGACGGGTGGTAATACTTCTTGGGGCTCCAGTTGGTTGCTACTTAAAAATCTAACAGCTCAGGTATGTTTACAATTTGATAATTAAAACGTTTACAACGGGGCAGTTCGCAGTTGAATGGACATTTTTATGAGTAGGAATTTTAAGGAATCCAGTGCACATATGTGCAGTCTTAAATTGATCTTATATTTTTGTTAGAAAATATGGTTTAATAGTATTCGGATTTTAAAAGGTTTGAAGCAGAGACGGAAAATAACGATTTTTTTTGAGTAAAAAATAAAAATTACCATTTGATGAATATTTTGTAAGTGAAAAAAAATATCGCTCAGAAGTAATGATTATTTTGTGAGCGATATTATTTCGCTTAAAATATCACTCAAAGTGTGATTGCAGCCGTCCTACGCGGAATTTTACCATTATTTAAATGTGCACTTGTAGGTAGAACCACAAAGCAAATATATCGAGCTAAGAAAAAAATACATTTTCTTTGTATAAATCGATTAAAAAGCGGTTGACTTTTGTATAAAAAAATTTTCTGTGGAAATCGAACTCGTGCTTACAGCACGGGGGAACAAACACACTAACACCCAGCCCACATGTCGGGTTGGATATATTTAATATATATAAGTGGAATAGTTCTTAGCACCTTAACATCTTGTTAAGTCGTTTTACTAATACATAAATGACAAAGTCCTAAGGTCCTAAGGTGCTAGGAACTATTCCACTTATATCCAACCCGACATGTGGGCTGGGTGTTGGTGTGTTGGTCCAACGAGCTGTAAGCACGAGTTCCTAAGGTTGATACAACTTTTTGTATTTATGCATACCTCTTGTAAACTAATAACAGCGTTTTTAAAAGTTTATACAAAGAAAACACCTTATTTTATTAACTCAATATGTGCTCCGTGGTTTTACCTACAAGCACAAATTTAAATACATACTTCCCGACGAATACAATATACCCTTTTACTTTAAAGTAACGGGTATAAAAATGAAAGTTAAGAAGATCTCAATGACCGTGAAGTCGCTGTCTGGTTCAGTGATCGAAACAGCAGCGCTTTTACTGGTTGGGAATTATAGAACTACTTTAGATATCGAAATGGTTTTCCTTGTACACGTTAAACGAGGATCGTGCGTATCGCGTTCTTCGTTGAGAAATGATTATTTTATAGGGGGGTAACTTTACAGCAGGATTCTTAAGCGGTCTTTCTTTTATGCATAACTGAAAGATTTTGTTGAAAGGTGGCTGAGCATTTAAATATAATAAAGTAATATTTTTTTTGTTATATTCTTTGTTATTTTAGATTGATGGTCCTACTTTACGTACATTGTGTATGCAGCATGGCCCCCTTGTTAGCTTTCACCTATATTTGAACCAAGGAATTGCCTTATGTAAATATACAACTCGAGAGGAGGCGAACAAAGCGCAAATGGCGTTAAACAACTGTGTTCTCGCCAACACCACAATATTTGCTGAATCTCCGAGCGAGAACGAGGTGCAAAACATAATGCAGCACTTGCCACAAGCAACTTCCTCTGCAAGCTCTAGTGGAACTAGTGCTGGTAACGGTGGAGGCGTTGGCACTCCATCCAATAGTGGGGCCAGTAGCTCAGGAGCTAGTCTATCCGGAAACAGTAGCAACGGCAACGGCAACGGTAACGGAAACAGCAGCGTCAGTGGTGGCGGCAGCGGCAATAATGGCAATAGCAGTGGTAACAGCAGTGGCAGCGGCGGCAGCAATCCAAACACCAGTGCTGCAAACTCGAATCTACTTGGATCTAGTGGAGGGTCTGCTACAAATTCGTCCGGTGGTACTGCTAGCTCTGGTACAGGTTCCGTAGTAAGTGGTTCAGCGAGTGGCAATGCCATAAATGGTGGGCCAGGATCTGCTAACAGTGCTGGCGCCAAGACTAGTGCAAGCAATGTAACAATAGCTGGTGGTCAATCTAGCGCTTCAAGCCTAACTAATAGCAGCAACTCAACATGGCGTCAAACTAGCCAAAACCAAGCTCTTCAGGGTCAAAACAGGCCATCAGGCAGAGAAGCTGACTTTGATTATATATCTCTCGTTTATTCCATTGTTGATGATTAAAAGGTCAATGACCAGTTCCATTGGTCATTGGCCATTGACTATCGCATTCTGTGACTCAAGACACACACCCAAAAGCTTCAAATGATTCGATACTAAGTATGTATGGAAAGCAAGACCATGTTGTGAAGAATATAAAAGTGGATCGACTGATAGACGAATGGACTTAGAATTTTGTATGCCCGTAGATTTATTTTTCTTCATCGTTCATAGATCTAAACTTGTATATGTAAGTTTAAATTTAATCAATATAAAACAAAAACAAACATCCGACATATAGATATACATATATATGATGTCAAAAAAAAATGATATACTTGATGGTTTGCTGTAACAAAAAAGCATACCTTCCTATTTAAGTAAAAGTGTTTTGACTCTGGCGCCCATAGCTTACCTTGGGAAACGGGAAAAATTCTCAACGGTGTATATGTGTGCATGCAAACTCATATGGTAAAATATACATTAATAAATATTATGTATTGCAACATCTATACATATATTTATGGAAAATTCAAATTTTCAGTAACGACTGAAATCGAGTGTCGGTAGCATTAAGGGACAAAGTCTAGTGTAATTATCTAATTTGAAGCCTTTAGTGTCCAAGTTTGACATAGAGACAACATATACTAGATACATATATGTGTATATCTTTTGTGTACATAGATATATGTTAGGGCTACGTCCTATTTTGCTGCTTGTGCATATCGATCAAATGCCTACTATTCATGAGTGTTTTTGTGTTTCCAGTAAGGAAAAATACCTGTGTTATATTCATTATAGGAAGTTATAATCTAATTACGGTTTTGCTTTCATTAAAGCATTCCCACCGAAAAAATTCGGTTATACATTATAAAATCACAATAAAAATATCAATGAAGTTATTTATTGCCTTTGAGTATTGAGCCATTATTGTTGTGCGTGGGAATTAATTATATTAATACATATGTCTGTTTAGTATAAGTCATCATTTAAATAGAACTTAAATCTGAAGTAATGAGATGAGAATGGCTTGAATATACGGAAATAAATGTGTAATTATATCTTGAACGTTTGAAATGTACGTACACTTCCGCAAACTGTATGGTCGGTCCTGTTCAAGAAAATAAGGTCATTTCTGAAGAGGAGGTTAGAAAAGTATTTATCAAATTTAAATTAGAGCTAGAGCTTGTTAAAATTTATTTCAGTTTCTTATAGCGAAAGAGAATCCTGTAGGGGAGAATTGAGCACATAAAAATCTTCAATGAGTGATTCCACGGCATTTTCGAATTGACTCAATATAGATAACTAAAGCACAGACATACAAAAACCTTTTCATTTAAAAAACAAGAAAGAAAGATATCTTCGGCCAGCCGAAGCTTATATACCCTTGCAGATAACATAATCACCTATATTTTAATGCTGTCTCGATCGGTGCAGTTCCAAAATCAAAAAGCCTACTTCCTACAAAGTTACAAAGTATTTTATTTTATTTGTTTGATTATTCCTATGGAAGCCCTAAGATATAGTGGTCCGATCCGAATCGCTCCGACATATTTACTACCTGCTATAGAAAGAAGACTTTCGGAAAAGTTTCATTGCGATAGCTTTAAAACTGAAAGACTAGATCGCATAGAAACGGACAGACGGACTTGGCTAGATGGACTCGACTATTGGTGCTGATCAAGAATATATATAACGGGTGTTTTTTTTAGAGGTATAGAACTTTGAGTTGCAATAAAACAACGATGGATTATTCGATTGACATGAATTTTTTTTATTCGAAAGATAATCTTGTGGCATTACATTTAATATATGATTTCTGGCATATGTCCGCCTCGTCTGGCTCGGATGTAGTCCAATCTGGACGTCCAATTTTCGATGACTTTTCCCAACATTTGCGGCCGTATATCGCCAATAACACGGCGAATCTTGTCTTCCAAATGGTCAAGCGTTTGTTGTGTTAAATCGGTCTCCATCTTAAACAGTGATACCAACTTAAAGTTCTATACCTCTAAAAAAAACACCCTTTACTTTATGTGGTCAGAAACGTCTTCTTTTTGTCTGACTGAAATAAATAAGTATCCATAAAATCAATTTTTGTCTAATTTTTTTCTACCAGGAACTACCATCATCCTTCTTGCTATATTTTCAACCCACTAGTGTTCGTTGATTAAACTAATCAGAAGAAATCGAGGTCCAAGGATTTTTTGAAAAGTTTCAGTTAGATTTAGAACTGATGGAGTAGCTTCCGTGGAAATAGACGGACAGACGAAACTGGCTATATCGACTAATTATGGTAATTTCGAAAATACTGCGTACTTTTAACGGTTATAGCATCGGCAAGGAAATGTAAATTTCATTTAGTCTCAAAATGGAAATTGGTTGTTGGAAAAGTTTCATGCCTTATACATTCCATTTCGACTATACCGGGAAACCAAGCTCTGATATGTGGACCTTGCTGCCGATTTGAACTCTACTTTATGTGTAACGTGCGGACCAAAAAACTGAGGCAGTTGCCTGACGGAAATTTCCAATGACTATCAGTGACAGTGAGTGTCTAGAGCGAATCTCACAGTCGGGTCACCCTTTCTTTTTTCCTCATATGCATTTGTCCGGCTTCATCAGAAGCTTTGTTTAGCTTGCATACAAACAAAATTTAAGCAGTCGATTCTTTCATGCCAAGGGGCAGTCTCGTTATGTATTTATTAGCAAGCGGCTTACTGCTACTTCAGTTTATTTCATATGCTTTGGGAGTTCCTCCCTTAGTAAGAGTTGGTAAAAACACCAGAAATTGTTCCAACCAAAGTTCTGATATCTTTTTTAAGGAGCAATATTTTCCAACCAACCCGGAAAATATAACTCGGAGTTGGCGTTCAGATACGCAGTTCATAGGCTAAATCTGGATAAAAGTCTTTTGCCTGAGACTACAGTTGAGTACTACATTGAATATGTAAATCGATTGGATTCCTTTGAGACAGTGCAAAAGGGTAAGGTTAACAAATCCAAATTTGAGAACAACATAATTGTATGCTACCTGTCCACTAGTGTGCAAACTTGTTGGTGTTGGTGTTCAAGCTGTTTTTAGCCCAACTGACTCGGTTTTGGCGACCCATATAAATTCAATTTGTGATGCGCTGGACATCCCAAATATAGGACGCTCCGCACATGACTTTTCCATTAACGTGTACCCATCGCAGAAATACGTAAATCAAGCCTTTAATGATGTTATTCACTATCTAAATTGGACCAGATTTGGAATTTTGCAAGAGACAGAATATGGTAAGTCGCTAATACGTAAATCCTCAGAACGCATACAGATTGCATCCAATCGGTTATTAAAAAAAAAACAAGAAAGGAAGCTAGCTTCGGCCAGCCGAAGCTTCTATACCCTTGCAGATAATTCCTATTAATTTACAAATCGCAAAAATGTTAATTTTCCTATTATTTCTCATTAATTTTGCGTTCGTTTCAATGGCAGCTATATGATATAGTAGTTCGATTTTGATAAAATTAAAATCGAAATTCGAAAATATTTGAAAAGAGTTATATCCTAGAGTAGAAGAGAATACAATAAAAACCAACGAAGCAATAATTTATTTTATATTATATTCCCATTAATTTTTCGATCGTTCCTATGGCAGCTATATGATATAGTCGTCCGATTTTGAAAAAATTTTATTCGAAATTCAGAATTAGATAAAAAATGACATTTCCAAAAGTAGGATGTTATAGGTTCAAAAACACCCAAGATATAATTTTTTTACATTTTTTTTCCCGATTGTTCCTATGAGAGCTATATGATATAGTTGTCCGATACTACGATATACTACCTGCAATAGAAAGAAGACTTTTGGGAAAGTTTTATCCCGATAGCTTGAAAACTGAGAGACTAGTTTGATTAGAAACGGACGGACAGACGGACGGACAGACGGACGGACAGACGGACATGGCTAGATCGACTCGTCTAGTGATGCTGATCAAGAATATACATACTTTATGGGGTCGGAAACGTCTCCTTCACTGCGTTGCAAACTTCTGACTGAAATCATAATACCCACTGCAAGGGTATAAAAACAAGAAAGGAAGCTAACTTCGGCCAGCCGAAGCTTATATACCCTTGCAGATAACGATGTAAAATAACCATACCCAAATAAAAGTGTATTTAATTGTTTTAACCAAACAAAAATAATTGGGTGTGTGTTTACTAAACAGAGTGCTTTTAAAATCATTCTTATTCGGCCACTGCATCACGTTGTTTAAGGTTTTTACCTATGCACAGTGTTTGTACATTCAGTGAACCCCACGCATAGTCGGACACCCATTTTTTCCTATCATAAAACTGCTGTAAAATTATACAAAAACATCAAAGGAAGCTACCTTCGGCCAGCCGAAGCTTATATACCCTTGCAGTTAAAGTAAATACGTATAGTTTAATGCTCCCTCGGTGCAGTTCCAGGGATTCCAGATTCAGCGTGTTTATCTAAATTTTGTTTTTAAGTTGTCAAAAATCAAAACGCCTTCTTCCTACAAAATTACAATGAATTTTCTCATATTTGATTGAATATTCCTATGGGAGCCTTAAGATATAGTGATCCGATCCGGCTCGCTCCGACATATGTACTACCTGCAATAGAAAGAAGACTTTTGGGAAAGTAACATCGCGATAGCTTTAAAACTGAGAGACTAGTTCGCATAAAAAACGGACAGATGGACCGACGGACAGACGGACATGGCTAGATCGACTCGTCTAGTGATGCTGATCAAGAATATATATACTTTATGTGGTCGGAAACGTCTCCTTCACTGCGTTGCAAACATCTGAATTATAATTTATGAATTATGAATAAAATATTTAAAAAATCGGGACACTATATCATATAGCTGCCATTGGAACGATCGAAAATTAAATGCAAATTAAGAGGAAAAAAATGATTGCTTCGTTGTTTTTTTATTGTATTCTCGTTAACTCTGGGATATGACTCTTATTAAATATTTCCGAATTTCGGTTTTAATTTTATTAAAATTGAACTACTATATCAGATAGCTGCCATAGGAACGATCGGAAAATTAATGAGAAATATAGGAATGATCTGCAAGGGCCAGCCGAAGCTAGCTTCCTTTCTTGTTTTTTTTTACTTTTAGGATGCATTTTGCATTTGGTTTTATAGTCAATCAGCTGCTTTCTCAGAGCCAGTGAGAAAGTTAGGGACAGAACAAGTGAGCAAGTAGCAAGTGAACAAGTGAAGAAGTGAACCAGTGGGCAAACTGAGTGAGTTGACTCATGGGAAAAAAAGAACAAGTGAACATGTTTACCCAAATGAGCAGTTTTTACCCAACACTACTGATAAACCTATGCTGCCCAGCAATGCAGGACAGTCAATTTTGGAAGTCAGAAGGTCACATATAAAAACTAGCGCACTAGTTGTTCTCTGATCTTCTACACACAAAAAAAAAATGTAAAATCACCATAGAAAAATAGTATTTCACAATTTTCTGAATTTTTTATGTATTTTGTTGTTTTATTTTTTGGGTCATTGAATAGTATTTAACAATTAAAATAGTAGAAAACCTATTTACGAAATTTGCATGTATTTTGTTGTTTTATTCATTTGACAAATTAATAGTAACGTCTCAATTAATATCATAGCAAAACTATTTTATTTGTTTGCGTGTATTTTGTTGTTTTATTTTTTGGGGCATTAAATAGTAACACCACAATTAATATCGTAACTCAACTATTTTTATACCCTTGCAGAGGGTATTATGATTTCAGTCAGAAGTTTGCAACGCAGTGAAGGAGACGTTTCCGACCTCATAAAGTATATATGTATATTCTTGATCAGCATCACTAGACGAGTCGATCTAGCCATGTCCGTCTGTCCGTCTGTCCGTCGGTCCGTCTATCCGTTTCTACGCAAACTAGTCTCTCAGTTTTAAAGCTATCGGCTTGAAACTTTCCCAAAAGTTTTCTTTCTTTTGCAGGTAGTATATAAGTTGGAACCGGATCGGACAACTATATCTTATAGCTCCCAAAGAAAGGGTCGGAAAAAAATCGTTAAAAAAATTCTAGCTTCGGTGTTTTTTGAAATATTACCTTCTTCTCTTGGAGATTTTATTTTTTAAATATATCTAAATTTCAAATAAAATATTTTAAAAATCGGACGACTATATCATATAGCTGCCATAGGAACGATTCAAAAATTAATGGGAAATTAATTGGAAACAAATTATAGCTCCGTTGATTTTTATTGTATTCTCTTCTACTCTAGGATATGATTTTTTTTAATATTTCGGAATATCGAATTTCGGAATTTAAACAAAAATCGGATGACTATATTACATAGCTGCCATAGGGAAGGATAGAAAAATTAATGTCAAAACAATACGAAATTTAAAATATATTTGCGATTTGCAAGTTAAAAGGAATGATCTGCAAGGGTATTTAATCTTCGGCTGGCCGAAGCTAGCTTCCTTTCTTGTTTTCCTTCATATATTTCAGGGTTCGTAAAATATACCTCACAATATGTAATTTATTTTAAATATAATAATATCAACATAGGGCGGTGATATTTGTCACAATAAAATGAGAAGTAACCAAGCAGGGCTGATGAATATTTTTCTGATAAAAATCTCAACTGCTTTATACTGCTTTTTCCTCAAAACATTTTCCTAATTTTTGACATTTTGTGAGGAAAAAATTTGAAAAATAAAATAAAAAATAATATAAAAGTTTTTCTTTGTATTATCTAGACTTTAATGAACAATTTATATGTTTTTAAGCGCAGGTTACATCTTTTGTATCTTCTGCTAAGTCTACCACCGACTATGGATCAAATACTTTATTTCTTCTCAATGTAAATTGAACACGCTTTTGAGTTGTCGGTGCTATTTGTCTTCGACTATATTGATCATTACATCACTTTTTCATTATTTCATTTTCCTCACTCATGATGAATATTTTTCGATCACTGAGCGATATGCATCTTAATGAGCAAAGATGACAATTGGTTTGTATCGTGATTGATATATATTTATTTTCATCACAGTCGGCTTGTTTTTGAGGGATATTTAAAATGAGTGATGTTTACGAACCCTGATATATTTTGTTGTTTTAAAAGTACAATTATAAATTGTATATCAACTATTTTTCTGGACTTAGGGTGGTTAGAGTATCCGACTCATAATCTCTGGGTCGTGAGTTCAAATCCAGCTTTTGCAGATGCTGTTTTTCTTTTTTTTATTGTTAAATGTTAATTTCAAGTCTATAGATTTTCCTCAACGAAAATTTTTTTTCTGTGGCCTAGTGGTTAGAGTGCTCGACTCCGATGGTTGCGGTCCCGGTTCGATCCCCAGCAGAGGCAAAAAACCTGATTTGTAAGTTTAAGTATCTGTGAAATGTATGTGTCTATAAATAACTTCCGTATAAATTAATATAACAAATTAATAATTAAAAAAATAAATTAAAAAACCAACAATTTTTTTTAGGGTAAAATACTATTTTGTTAGTCATCTGCTATTTTATAGGTAATCTATAATTTTTTTTTGGCAATTTTCTATTTTTTATGGGTTGGGGCAGTTTTACTATTAAATAGCTGATTTTACAGCGTTTTAAAGTAGATATGAAACGTAGGTCAATGTTAATAAGATCAATTTTAACTTGATATGGTCGAACCGTAAAAGCGATATTTCGGTAATATCGGTTTTACTTAGCATAGTCGCTTCTCCCATACACACATAGTTTCGCATGCGTGCATGTACAGTATCTGCAAAGTGAAGGAGAGGGACCCTCTCAGCAGCACAGGTGGTACAAGTGCCTGGAGATTGGGCACTTTGCTGCAAAGTGCCACAGCAAAGTAGACAAAAGCGGGTGCTGCATCAAATGTGGCAAAACGGGGCACAAAATCGCGCAATGCCCTAACGAGAGCGTATGCTTTTTATGCACCGAAGGAGGTCCGAAGTCGAGGATCCACCAAGCAGGAAGCAGGCGGTGTCCCCACGCCGCAAAAACAGCCGAAGTTAAACCCCGAGAAAGGAAGTGATCCAGATAAACCTGAATCGCTGCCGTGAATCTGAATCACACCTACTCCTGCAGACAGCGAGGGGATGTAAGGCGGATCTGGCTATCATTTGTGAGTTGTACAAAGTCAAGGACAACGGCGACTGGGTAACAGACACATCAGGCAAGGCCGCAATATGGCTATGCAGGAGAAACGGCAAATCGTTCCTGTACGTGCGCAAGGGATCGGGTTTCTACAGCTGTCATCTAGCACCTAGTCTCTCCAAGGATGACTTTAGCCGTGCACTGGACACGATCGCCTTTGATGCAAGGGGCCGTCGCCCTACCATCATCGCAGGCGACTTCAACTCGTGGGCCGAAGATTGGGAGTGTCCCAGCACCAACAGCAGGGGGCGCACCTTACTAAGAGCCTTTGCAACGCTAGACGTTTGGCTGCTAAACGAAGGGTCGCAGGAGACGTTAAATCGAGCTGGGTCTATAATAGACCTAACCTTTGTGAGCTTCCCGCTAGCCCGACGTTCTCACTGGAGAATCGGCGACTTCTGCACGGCCAGCGACCGAGCCAGAAGAGCTCTTCAACGCTCAAAGAACGGACAGGGCCGAGGCTGCACACGCCGCCTTCAAGCAAGCCAGGAGGTCTCTTAGGCACGCCATTCAGGACAGTTAACGGGAATGTTTCCTGAAGCTATGCGACGCAGCCGAACAGGATCCGTGGGGTGGGGCCTACAGACTAGTGTTCAAGCGAGTAACTGCGGGTAGCGCCAAGAAGAGCACACTGCACGAAACGGGGCCCACGTGGGAGATCGAGGCAATAGCGGAGACCGGGTCGCTGAAGCAGGACGCAGCCTGCAGAACAATAAAGCCCCAGGACCCGACGCAGTGCACAACAAAGCAATGAAGCTGGCGCTTGCGCTTCTGCCGAGCACTTTCGCGGCGCTCTACAACGCCTGCCTGCGCGAAGAAACATTTCCCCGGAGATGGAAAGTTTAGAAGCTGTTGCTCCTGAACAAACCTGGGAAGCCACCCGGTGAAGCTTCTTCCTACAGGCCAATTTCTGTCTGCTCACAGTTGGCAAAGTGTTCGAAACGGCTAAGTCTGGCCATACGCGGGAAGCGCTGGAAAAGCGGTACGAAGGCATACTGCCAACTGGTCCCGATCGACATCAAGAATGCCTTCAACACTGCGAACTGGACAGGGATTATGCAGGCACGCGGCAGCGGATCCCGGAGTACCTCATCAAGATAGTCGACAGCTACCTTGACGAAAGGGTGCTGCTGTTCGATACGAGCGACGGTCCTTAAGAGTAGGGACAAAGAGCACCTAGATTATGCCAACATGAAGGCAGCGACCGCCAGATCACTCGCGCGGATTCTTTTAAACACGAGGGGCCCAGAGCAGGAACGGAGGAAACTCTTAGCAAGTCCTATATGCCGCCCCGGTACACTCAAAATAAAACAAGAGAGAACGCTATAGTCGGGTGCCCCGACTATCAGATACCCGTTACTCAGCTAAAGGGAGTGCGAAGGAGATGGAGAAAAACTTTGATTCGCCGTAACTTTTTAACGAATGGTCCGATTTAAAAAATTTCTTCTACATTTCGATAGGTATTGATAAACACAATAAAATTGCGTTTTTACTTTTCCAAAATATTGAAATTTTTAAAATCGTATATAAGCGATTGTGGGCGTTAGAGGGGGCGTGGCACCCTTTTTGAGCTGCGTAGGAACTCCTAGAATCTGCATGCAAAATGTCAATCTTCTAGCTTTTATAGTTTCCGAGATCTCAGCGTTCATACAGACAGACAGACGGACAGACAGACGGACAGACGGACAGACGGACAGACGGACATGGCTAGATCGACTCGGCTAGTGATCCTGATCAAGAATATATATAGGTTATAGGGTCGGAAACGCTTCCTTCTACCTGTTACATACTTTTGCACGAATCTAATATACCCTTTTACTCTACGAGTAACGGGTATAATTAACCCTAAAGTCAAGGAAATCGCCCTACTTTTGTCTTCAAGACAAGCTCGCCCTAAATTTTAGGGTCACATTTTTCTATATTTTTGATTTTTTTTGACGTCATATTTCTAAATTTTAGGGTAATTTTACTAAATTTAAGGGCAAAAATTTCTAAAAAGTAGGAAATTTTTCTAAAAAATAGAAATATATGGGCTAAAGCCGCCACGACGCCATCGCACATGGATCAGCTTGGAACGCACGCACAGACTTTGTGCCATCAGGATATCCTGTGCGTTCCGGACGATTTCTGAGGAACAGCGATGGTCATCGCTGGTCTAGTTCCAAAAAACGAGCTAGTAAGAGAGGCAGCAGAAGTGGAGGAAGCGGTCACGAGTACGGACGACCTATCTAGGCGTGAGGCGCGACAGCCCGCGAGGCAGGGATCAATTTCTCTGTGGCAGGAGAGATGGGACTCAGCGACCTCTGGGCGCTGGACCCACGCTCTCATTCCAGTCTTGAGGGCGTGGCTGGAAAGGAAGCATGGGCAGGTGGATTTCTACCTGACCCAGATTCTGAGTGGACACGGGTGCTTCCGGTCGTACTTGAAGAAGTACGGACTCGACACAAGGGACGGATGCCCAACCTGCGGCTCTGGAATCGAGGAGGACGCAAACCACGTCCCATTTGATTGCTTTGATCCTTTTATAATAAAGGACCACAATACCAAAAAAAAACAAGAGAGAACGCTATAGTCGGGTTGTTGTCCCGACTATCTAATACCCGTCACTCAGCTAAAGGGAGTGCGAACGCTGTGTCGGGTTGGTGTCCCGACTAATAATCGTAACTCAGCTAAAGGGAGTGCGAGGGAGATAGATATATAATTTTTGATTGCGTATAACTTTTTAATGAATGGTCCGATTTGAAAAATGTCTTCTACATTTCGATAGGTATAAATATACACAACAAAATTGCATTTATACTTCTCGGAAATCTTTAAAGATGTGGGCGCAGGACCCATTTTAAAATCGTTAGTGGGCGATTGTGGGCGTTAGAGGGGGCGTGGCGCTCGGCTAAAATAAACTTGCGCTGCGTAGGAAGCCAAAGAATATGTGTGGGAAATCTCAACCTTCTAGCTTTTGTAGTTTCTGAGATCTCAGCGTTCATACAGACGGACAGACGGACAGACGGACAGACAGACAGACAGACAGACAGACAGACAGACAGACGGACATGGCTAGATCGACTCGGCTAGTGACCCTGATCAAGAATATATATACTTTATGGGGTCGGAAACGCTTCCTTCTAGCTGTTACATACTTTTGCACGAATCTAGTATACCCTTTTACTCTACGAGTAACGGGTATAAAAACAAAATCCATGTACATTAGGGCGGTCCACATTTGTATAAAAGTTTTTAAGGTCCCAGTCTCACCCGTCTATACGGTGCGCTTTTTGGTACCACGCCATATTGCTTCTTACGCTCTTTTTATACCCGTTACTCGTAGAGTAAAAGGGTTTATTGTATTCGTATGTAAAGTATGTGACAGCTAGAAGGAAGCGTTTCCGACCCCATAAAGTATTTATATTCCTGACCAGGATCACTAGCCGAGTCAATATAGCCATGTCCGTCTGTCCGTCTGTCTGTCTGTCTGGATGAACGCTGAGATCTCGGAAACTACAAAAGATACAAGGTTGAGATTTCCCACATATATTCTTGGGCTTCCTACGCAGCGCAAGTTTACTTCAGCCGAGCGCCACGCCCCCTCTAACGCCCACAATCGCCTACTAACGATTTTAAAATGTGTCTGGCGCCCACACCTTTAAAGATTTCCGAGAGGTATAAATGCAATTTTATTGTGTATATTTACACCTATCGAAATGTAGAGTACAGCGTTCGCATTCCCTTTTGCTGAGTGACGGGTATTAGATAGTCGGGACACCAACCCGACTAAAGCGTTCTCTCTTGTTTTACATAAAGTGTTCCAAAATGCTAGTCTGGTTGTGATTTGTATGTTACTTACTAATTTAGATTTCAATCACAGCGATCCATGTGCTGATCAATATAATATGGAGGTTAAACCCCCTAGACAATCGAAAGTAAATTGGCCCCACAACAAAATTCTCGATCCGGCACTGCATTGATCCGTTCATATTAACCTGTCTCCGTATTATACTTAAGAATTAAGTGTTTTTATAAATGTATTTACTTACAATTTTGTACAGGAATTATTAATCTGCATCAGCTATCCCGCTCTGTTCAGGGAGAAGTGCACATGCGACAAGTTTCTCCCGGGTCGTATCTGTCTGTATTGAACGAATTTAAAGGCAAGGAAATACACAATATTATTATTGATACAAATTCGGACGGTATATCAATCTTATTAAAAAATGTAAGTTGACTCTAAATTTTTAAGGCACATAACAACTAGATAGCTGCTACTACTGTATGTTCACAATGATTTTGTAGCTGTAAAAATAATATTTTTATACATGCAGGCAATTTGGGGATATCTATATTTGTCTCTTCCGCGCGAAGAGAAGAGTTTGTTATACAACTTGATTCCGATTCTTTATCGAAAAATAATATTTCGCATTTTTCTGAGAGATGACCCCAAATTGCCCCAAATCCGGCAAATGTAAGATTATTGCCATAACTACACGACTTTTCCAAAACTTTTCATCTTAAAAAATGCTTTAATTTGGTTGTAGTCTGTTTTAGTGACTAAGTAAACCATAAGTTATCAAATTCATATCAATTTCAATCAAAGCAAACATTGGAAACCCAAAGAGTTTTTGAAAAAATTATTTTAACCAAAAATATCTGTTTTAGAAGTATCTTTAATTTATATAAAAAAACGTTGATTTTCCTCATATTCTATTTTACCGTTATTTTCCTATTTAAAAATTTCTTTTACGTATTTGGTAAAAACAAAAAAATAAAATATCCGTTTTAGAAATATTTTGAATTTTTATACGAAACGTTATTTTATATACGTTCCAGCCCCACATTAACATTATAAATATATTATATTTCTTCAAGGAAATAATAACAATTCCTTTCACCTGTGACATCTGCTATGTTAAAAATTATAATCGCAGAAATCTCTTCCAACCAAAGACGTTTAGTTTTGAGCACGATGTACGTAAGAATCAACACATTTTGGTTGGAAAAGATTTCTGTGATCATTGTAAATTATTAAATAAATACTAAGTGATTATACTAGAAGCTATTGAGTAAATAAATATTTGTTCTTCACTATTCAAATATACAAAAACAGATATTACAGCAGCAAATGAATGAATACAAGTACCATTATTTGTTTACCAGCTTTGACTTGGAAACATATGATCTGGAAGATTTTAAATACAATTTTGTAAACATAACATCTTTTCGATTAGTCGACATTGGAGATGTTGGTGTAAAGCAGATTTTGAAGGATCTCGGATCCTATAGTCACCATATGTTTCAAAAACCTTACATGAATCCGCATGTAAGGAAATCCATTTCCCTAGAGGTAAGTTTTATGGGAACTTCATATGATGTAGGCACACAAACTAAATATATATTTAACCCCATTGTAGTCAGAACCAGCTTTAATGTTTGACTCAGTGTACGTTTTTGCGATTGGATTGCAGACATTGGAGCAATCGCAATCACACACTTTGAACCTATTAAACATGACCTGTGATGCGGGAATTCCTTGGAATGGGGGCCTGAGTCTAATTAATTACTTAAATGCGGTGCGTGCACACTTTTCTAATCTAATAATACTCGCTATCTCTTATTCATACGTTAAGTCTCTTAGCATATCCGGATCTAAAATACAAATACCTTAGTGAATTAATCTCTTGCTTGTGATTAAAAGTATTATAGTTCAGCAATAGTATACAAAAAGTTTGGTTTTTCATATAATATCGCATTATCCATTAGGTTGAATGGAAAGGCCTAACCGGTCCAATTCAATTTAAAGAGGGCCAGCGAGTACAATTCAAGTTGGACTTAATTAAATTAAAACAACACTCCATTGTAAAAGTCGGAGAATGGACACCTCATGGACGTCTAAATATTACAGAACCATCAATGTTTTTTGATTCTGGTTCCATGAATGTGACACTGGTGGTAATAACAATACTGGTCTGTAATGGAGAGCAATAAAATATATTTTGAAGACTTGGTAAAGTTTATTTTCAGGAAACTCCCTATGTGATGATGCACTATGGCAAGAATTTTACGGGAAACGAACGATTCTATGGTTTCTGCGTTGATATATTGGAAACCATTTCCCATGAGGTTGGGTTTGACTACATACTGGATTTAGTACCCGATAGAAAGTATGGCGCCAAAGATCCCGAATCTGGTGAATGGAACGGAATGGTCGCTCAGCTAATGAAATATGTATGTTCGTTAGACACAAACTTTTGCCTACTCAAAGTAACTATTTATAAATATTCAGAAGGCAGACTTGGCCGTGGGCTCTATGACTATCACATATGCAAGAGAAAGCGTTATTGATTTTACTAAACCATTTATGAATTTGGGAATAAGTATATTATTTAAGGTTAGAAAATGGGTTCATGGGTTAAAGGCAATGCTAATCGTGTTTTTATTTAAGGTCCCAAGCTCAGAGCCAACAAGATTGTTTTCTTTTATGAATCCATTGGCAATAGAAATCTGGATTTATGTGCTAATTGCTTACTTTCTCGTATCGTTTTGTATATACATTGTGGGAAAACTATCTCCCATCGAGTGGCAGCATATCCACCCCTGCGACTTAGAAAATATCTCAATTGGCAACCAGTTCTCCTTATCTGACAGTTTTTGGTTTACCATTGGAACTCTTATGCAACAGTCAACCGACATTTATCCGAGAGCAATTTCCACACGAATAATTAGCAGTATTTGGGGTTTTTTTTCGCTCATTATTGTGGCGTCTTACACGGCAAATCTAGCTGCTTTTCTCACCACTGAGCGTATGATTAACCCTATCGAAAACGCCGAAGATTTGGCATCACAAACGGAGATATCTTATGGAACATTGGATAGCGGATCTACGATGACTTTTTTTCGTGTAAGTTTTTACTTGGTCACACTTTCAAATTTACCAATTTCACATGCTTAAAACTTACCAGGACTCAATGATAGAAACGTACAAAAAAATGTGGAGGAGCATGGATAATAAGAAACCGACTGCGTTTACCTCTACATATGAGGATGGTATAAGGCGGGTTAACCAGGGTAACTACGCCTATTTGATGGAGTCCACAATGCTTGATTACATCGTCCAGCGAGATTGTAATTTGACGCAAATAGGAGGATTGTTGGATACGAAAGGTAAGGTTTCGGATTTAATTTGATTAAAAAGCCACACCTCCTAGCATATACATAAAGTTTGACAAAAGTGAAAATGGCATTTTAGTTGGGAAATGCAAAGGCAAAAACTAGAGTATTGTTTATCAAATAAAAACACCTCTTAACGAGGTAAAAAACTAGTGACGATCGCACCTTCAACATACAAAAGTTCTGATATCAACATTTGTGACGAAAAATTATTACACTCGTCATTAAATAGACTTTCTAATATTTTCTCATTCGGCCCGCCCTAGCAAACTATTCCAGCCTTTTTCCCTTCACAGGCATTTTCTATTGCAGCGTGCCGAATGAGAAAATATTAGAAAGTCTATTTAATGACGAGTGTAATAATTTTTCGTCACAAATGTTGATATCAGAACTTTTGTATGTTGAAGGTGCGATCGTCACTAGTTTTTTACCTCGTTAAGAGGTGTTTTTATTTGATATCAGAAGTTTTTGTTTGTTTACTTTTGCTCTCATAGGTGCTAATATAAACATTTAAATTTAAATTGGTCATAAATCATAATTTTTAAACTATTGTATTTTAACGAATTCAGTTAAAAAGGCGTTGAAGTATTTCAAAATACCTTTTAAACGAGGTATAGCACATGTCTGTACCTTTAGTAGTGTAGAACTTACAAACTAACGAAATTTAGCTATTTTTAGCTTTTTCCCGCTAAAGTAGCGGCTTTTTCCAAAAGTCGTAGAACAAAAGATTCCTATATGGAACTCTTAAGTGCAAATTTACTGATTCCATGACCCTAAAATACAGTTCGGATACCCTCCCACAAAATTCAATACTCAGGGAGCGTTAGTAGTTCGAGCTTGCAAAAGTGGCTATTTTCGTATAAAAATAACTTTTAAACGTGACTTTTTACAGTAATGTGTTATATACCAAAATTTAAGGAATCTCAAGGGCTATACAGTTTAAAGTTTTAAAGAAAATCGTTAGAGCCGTTTTTGAGAAAAATAAAAAAAGGCTAAAAAAAAAGTTTTAAAAAATTGTCTTTTGTTCATATTTTTTTAACTATTACATTTACACAAATTGCAAATAGAAAGCGTTTATAGAATTTAAAAATACCTTTCAAACGAGATATAACACAAGTCTGTAGCTTTAGTAGTATAGAAGTTACGGCTTTCCGAATTTTAGCTACTTATAGCTGTTTTCCCGCTAAACTAGCGAGTTTTTCCAAAAGTGGTAGAACAAAAGTTTTTTATATCGATGTGATGAACGTCATATCAAATTTTCAAAACTTAGAAAACATGTTTTGGACAAACTGACAAACTGACAAACAGAATTAAATTTTCATTTTGGGAAGACGAAGAAAATCTTATTTTGGCTATAACTTTTGAACGGAGCGTCGGATTTTGACAAATGACCCCTCATTCGACGGGTATTTTCAAAAGCAATACAATAAAACATTGAGAGGGGGCAATTATCCCCACCGGCCCCAACAGCTCCAAATTTCGAAATATTCACTTTTTCACTTTCACGTCTCTCTCTCCCAAGCCAATTGATTTTCTTAGAGTCTTGGTATGCAATCTTGTTAGTTTTCGCAATACCTTTCGATAGGTGTATCATTCATTATGATCGACCCTCACAGTAGATTTTCATTTCTTCGTGTATATATAGTAGTCGCCTTCGCACACACTCCTGGTGCGCTTCGTCACTACATGGACTGCCGTCCATAGTGATTATACTATTTCCTTTCCGATTGCAATAAAACAATTTTCAGTGTCACCCAAAAATACCCTATAAGACAACAAAGACAAAGACAAATTAATTGTTACAACCAAAAGAATCGATATGAAACGATGATCGATTCTACCTTTTTATACCCTTGCTGAGGGTATTAAAATCTCAGTAAAAGTTTGCAACGCTGTGAAGGAGAAGTTTCCGACCACATAAAGTATATATATTCTTGATCAGCACCAATAGCCGAGTCCATCTAGCCCTGTCCGTCTGTCCATTTCTATGCGAACTCATTTTTAAAGCTATCGCGATGAAACTTTCCCAAAAGTCTTTTTTCTATTGCCGGATCGAGCCGGATCGAAAAAACATACTAACTTTGTAGGAAGTAGGCGTTTTGATTTTTGACAATTTTAAAATCAAATTTTAAATAGGCAATAATACATCCCAGGTATTTATTTTACCTGCAAAGGTATATAAACTTCGGCTGGCCGATATTAACTTCCTTGCAGGAAAAATGCGAACTTGTCCGAAAAACAACTATTTATACAAATAATATAAAGCAACCAGAATTTTCTGGATGCATTTGAACTACAAAGGGTCTAGAAAATTTGTGCTAGTCGAAAAAATGAATAATACAAAACTAGTGAGAAAGCAACTTGTCTCGGACCGGTACCTTGCTGACAAAAAAACCTTACAAATATTTAATTGGCAGAACAAATACATGTTAGAGTCCAGTTAAAAGACAACTGGAATTTAACTAGTTGCAATTAAAACACATATGATCCAAAAATATAGCATGGGGTGTAAATGTCTTGGAAAATTTAACACAAAACCAATAAAACTGAAAAGGTTCTTGGTTCAATCCCCAGTCCTTGTAAATTATTTCTTTGTTTTTCATTTGCTTTGTGATGATTTAGTTTTATTATACCCGTTACTCGTTTTAAACTTAGTTTAATCTGTCCTAGGCAATATATATGTTAAAAATAACTGTATTTGATTTATGTCACACTAAAATTCATAAACCTTGTTAGGCTCAATCAGTTAGTGTGCCTATTAGAGGCCTGCATGAATATATTTATTTCAAAACAAGAGAGAACGCTATAGTCGGGTTGGTGTCCCGACTATCTAATACTCGTAACTCAGCTAAAGGGAGTGCGAGGGAGATGGATATATAACATTTTTTTGATTGCGAATTACTTTTTAATGAATGGTCCGATTTGAAATATGTCTTCTACATTTCGATAGGTATAAATATATACAACAAAATTGCATTTTTATACCCGTTACTCGTAGAGTAAAAGGGAGAAGGAAGCGTTTCCGACCCTATAAAATATATATATATATGATCAGGGTCACTAGCCGAGTCGATATAGCCATGTCCGTCTGTCTGTCCGTCTGTCTGTCCGTCTGTCTGTCTGTCTGTCTGCCTGTCCGTATGAACGCCATTCGTTAAAAAGTTACGGCGGATTAAAGTTTTTATCTCCATCTCCTTCGCACTCCCTTTAGCTGAGTAACGGGTATCTGAAAGTCGGGGCACCCGACTATAGCGTTCTCTCTTGTTTAATTTATATTTTATTTCATTTTAACAAAAATATAGCTTACATTTTCCGAGAAAGCCATTTAAAACATGAACACAATTTATAAGGTCGAATTTATCTAAAGCACTGAATCAGAACTTCAGAATTTTGTTCACTTACAAACGTTCTACTGACTTACAAGTCATAGAGTTCACTTTAACATTTCCAAGTGAACCGAGTGGGCCAAGTTAACTTGAAAGTGGACTTGTTGTTTCAAGTCATAGAGTGATAGATCACTTTAAATTCGTAATATTGGCTTGTTTTACTTGAACTTGTTTTTTCAAGTTAGAGTGACTCAAAATTACAAGTTAACTTATAAGTTCTCACTTAAAAGTCAACTTTTGCAGGGCTCTATACTATATCATATAGCTGTCATTGGAACGAGCGGAAAATTAATGAGAAATAATAGAAAATTGAACATTTTTGTGATTTGGTAATTAATAGGAATGATCAGCAGAGTATATAAGCTTTGGCTGGCCGAAGCTAGCTTCCTTTCTTGATTGAAATATTAAATTATACTTTTGTAAATAATGTTTTTTATATATTTCTAAATTTCGGATAAAATTAAAAAAAAATCGAACGACTATATAATATAGCTGCCATAGGAACGATCAGAAAATTAATGGGAAAATAATAGGAAATAAATTATAGCTTCTTTGGTTTTTATTGTATTTCCTCCTACTCTAGGATATGATTTTTTTTTTTAATATTTCCGAATTTCGAACTAAATTTAACAAAACATCGGACAACTTTATTATATTGTTGACATAGGAAGGTCAGAATAAATAATGTCAAAATAATAGGAAATTTAACATGTTTGCGATTTGTAAATCTGCAAGGGCTGGCTTAGGCTAGCTTCTCTTCTTGTTTTTTTTTTTTTGTGAAATACAATTTATACGGTTTTGGTATTATAATTTTAATTGCAATTTAGCTTGATAAGCTTCCTGTCTCCGAACTAATCTTCTTTTCATGACTTGTTTATTTTAAAATAAAACCTACATTTCTATTGAACATTTTTGAAGGATATGGTATCGCAACACCAAAAGGTTCGCCTTGGCGGGATAAAATTTCGCTGGCTATACTTGAGCTTCAGGAAAAGGGTGATATTCAAATGTTGTACGATAAATGGTGGAAGAACACTGATGAAACTTGTACTCGGCGAAGCACAAGCAAACAATCCAAAGCCAATGCTCTTGGTCTGGAGAGCATAGGTGAGTATTTATAGTGTATTGTATACAAACAAGTTTATGACACTATGGGTACATACAAAAAAAAAGGACGTCGCCGTAAAATCAATATGTCCATGTAAATGTCAGGTTATTCATACTCATATCGTTTTTACCTGAAATCAATTATCAAATTGATCTTAAATAATATCATTTTGCCGAACTCTCTCTCTCTGGGAGATTCTCTAACTTCGAGAAAGAGAGCAAGAGGCAGTATGGCGAGCACAATTACGTGAGTGGGAGCGAGAAAGACGGATTCGAAACTTGAACAGACTTACTTTAAGCATGTTGCCTCGCTTGCACTACTTTACTAGGTAAGTAAAGCTTAAACAAGACTCTGTTGTACAGAAATTAAAAACACGTGCAACTGTGCATATGTACATATGTGAGATGCGACTATGCTATGAAAAATTGATATTACCGAAATATCGTTTCTACGGTTCGACCATATCAAGTTAAAATTGATCTTAAAAATTGTAAAATCGACCTACGTTTCATATCGATTTGGTGTATTTGGTGGGTGTAGCCGATCATACAAAAAGCCACAATCAGAGAGTTCTAAATTTTGTTGTTAAAAGTTATGGAATTTTTTTTAACTTGTCCGAAAACGCCACTGTTTTTACACCCTTGCAGAGGGTATTATAATTTCAGTCAGATGTTTGCAACGCAGTGAAGGAGACGTTTCCGACCACATAAAGTATATGTATTCTTGATCAGCACCAATAGCCGAGTCTATCTAGCCATGTCCGTCTGTCCGTTTCTATGCGAACTAGTCTCTCAGTTTTAAAGCTATCGCGATGAAACTTTCCCGAAAGTCTTCTTTCTATTGCAGGTAGTACATATGTCGGAGCGAGCCGGATCGGACAACTATATCTTAAGGCTCCCATAGGAATATTCAAACAAATATAAGAAAATTCACTGTAACTTTGTAGGTAGTAGGCGTTTTGATTTTTGACAACTTAAAAACAAAATTTAAATAATAGGCACGCTGAATCTGGAATTCCTGGAACTGCACAGAGTGAGCATAAAACTATAGGTGTTTGTAGGTTGGTACACCTTTTGTTTTTAATCTGGTACTGATCGAAAGGTTAGTCTATTAGCTTAATAAAAAACAAAAAAAATATTTTTTTTGTGGGGAAAACTGAAAAATTTTTTTTTTGAAAAGTCCCACAAAACGACATTTTGAAAAAGAGGTCTGTAAGTTGAGACACTTTTAAAAGTCAATAATACTCACACAAAAAGTACTCCAAACTATAAGGAACAATTTATTTATGTTAATTTAGGGCCGGTTTCTCGAGTGCCGGCTAACATTTCTCGAACAGATAAAGTCCCTGCTAAGGTATTTTGGCTTTCTCGAGCAACAATGTGAGAGCTAACTTTGACAGGGACTCGGAGCCCCTGTTAAGCGTTTTCGACTCGATAGAATGACAGCTGATTTCCCAAAGCCAACTATGAAAATGAAACGAAATCACAGCTGACTTTTCCTTCAAATTATACACAAACAGCTGATGAAATAATCGAAGCACGCCATTTTTTACCCTTCACAGCACAATTCTGTGCGTTAACAGCACTCTGTAATTGTTTCTCGTTCAGATAAATTAAAGCAGTCGAGAAAGCCGATTTGCTTTTACGAACAGTTTATCTGGTATTTAAGTTTTTCGAACAGATAGCTATCAGGGACTTTGACAGGGACTCGAGAAACCGGCCCTTAGTCAATTTTAGTTCGTCCTAAATTATTTCCCATCCATTTTTTAAGAACTTAGACCAAATAACAATTAAAATCAAAAGGCTCTTTGAACATTCACTTTTCCCTTAATATCAAAGAAATGTACTGGGCAGAAAGCGACCTCTGTTGGCCTAAGGCCTTTTTGTATGAAAAACGGGTGTCTCAACTTACACGCTCAAAGTGTCTCAACTTACACAAAATGGGATGTTTCGGGAAAAAATTAATAACTTTTGTTCTGACTGTCACATTAAGCTGATTCTTTTTTTAATTAGTTAACAGTTAATATACTAATGTTTTAAATCTCTTACCAAGTTAATTTAAGGACGTTATTAATTTTAAATGGAATTTTGAAAAAAAGTAGACAAAAACTTTTTTGGTGAAAAATGGTACACGACTCTCACAGCTTAAATCTGGCTAGAGCCTGGCTTATAATGTTTTCCACAAAAGTTTTGTCACTAAAAATGACTACAAAAAAAAATAAAAACAATTTTTTTAGTGAAAAAGTTTTGAGAAAATTGAGTGTCTCAGCTACAGACCGCCCCAACCTAGAGACCTCTCCCCTATCAATGATAAATTTGAATAAATGATAAATAAAAGTGCCACACGGGTTAGAGTGTAACTTTATAAGGTTGGAAACGGTTCCTTCTGTTAAATACTTTTTCCCAAAAACAATATATTATTTTACTCTAAGGTTTCTATTGTTTTATTTTATTTAATAAACGTTTGTTTTATTTTAACAGGAGGTGTGTTTGTGGTTCTAATAGCAGGAATTTTCGTGGCTGCGGTGGTTGCGTTCTTCGAATTTTGGTGTAATTTTCGATACCACCATAAGGCTAGCACAATTAAGCCGGGCAGCAATAATGATTCCGTGCAAGGAGTGATTTTGGAAAGCGAATGGAGTTATACCCCACCAGTTCGATGCTTTTGGATCGAAATTTTTGAGGAACTGCGATATGCATCATGGTGTATGAACAAACAAAAGAGACCTGAGCTAAATCGAGTTTGTAGTGAATGTAAAATTTCACAAAGACCAACGTGTATATAACGCTAAACTACACTTTTGTACTTCTTCATATCGATTAAGATCATTTTAGTTTCATTGCTAGCACTATATCTGCTGTCAACTCTGAAATTAATAAAACAAAATTTTAAAAGTTTTATATATTTACTAAAGTTTTTTATCATTCAATGCTACTAAAGACAGCCCTACGAACCACACTTTTGGCAGAGCGGTTTGTCCAATAACGGATTGCCCACCACTTCACTAAGTATTCTACACACAAAAAAACTTGGTAAAATCAACCGTAATAATTGTCAAACAGGCCCCCACCATAAAAATTGTCAATTCTACTGACTAAATTGTTACTCTTACGTAATTCGTAAACGCAAGGGTTACTATAAAAAATAGTTATGCAACTGTAAAAAAAAGGTAGAATGTGCCCAAACCATAAATTGTAGTTAACTTACTACTTTTATAGTAATTTTTAAGTAATATTAACAAGGTAGTTGTCCAATTACATTCTCAAAAAGTGACTTATCCTACACCTCATAAAGTTGCGGGTTGCACCTGACATCCAGCTAGTGTGGAAGATAAAATACGCTCTAATGACTCAGAATCTGACTTGGGCTTGGTTCATGAAGGGCTAGACCCAGTTGGGAATTATAAATAAGGCATCGCAGAAGATTAGTAAAATTACTGTTGCATACTTTTATACTAAAGAAGTTACGTTAGGGTAACTATTGGTCTTAGTTAAGCAACTATTTAAAATTGCTTCAAGGTACAAAAACAAAATACACACATCCCGTAAGCGTAACTAGTTTAATAGTAGATTAACTATTTAATAGTACGCAAAGCAAAAACAAATACACGGACGACTATATTTATTGTTAAAGTACTATATTTTATAGTTACTGAACTATCTTTATTGGTCAATTTTACCAAACAAATTTTTTTGGGTGTAGGTAAGGTTTCCCTAGCTCTTTTCGTATCTTATGAAGGCATATTATCTTGTTCAGCATCACCAGGCGAGGAGATATGTTTATGTCCGTCTTGCTAATTCTATGCGACTTACTTCATTAGTTAAACACTAGATTAGATTGATCTGCTTGGATCTTTTTGTGCGTCCTGTGAATTTGGAATTAATTTGTATCATTACGTTAAGTGGATATTCGATTTATTTGACACGTTGAGCAACATATAGACATTTTAAAGATAAATTACATAACAATGCCTGAAGCACCATCAGGTCACTGAAATAAATATATATATAAATAACGACAATCTTAATTTACATGAATGCGATTTCATTGTGGGATACCATTTCTTATTTCTAAACAATACTACATTGTAAAATATTTTCTAATCCGTATCAGTTTTGAGAAATATATAGACTCTGATGTTGAGTAATGCAAAGCGCAAGTCCTGGGGTTCTGGCAGTCAGCTATGCAAGCCAAGTGACGTCTATGTGAAGATATCATTTTCTTTCTCGCCGATTGTGAAGTGAGTCATGGGTGACAAATGGCTTTTAGAACTGCAGGGAATGTATAAACTTGCTTATGTGAATGTATCTGCGTCCTATAAAATTTTTTGTGCGATTGCTAACACGGCTTTAGTTTTTACATTTGCAATATTAAATATATATTGTTTTGTATTTATTATATCAAGTAACCTAAACTAATGGATGAGAACTTGACGCTGGCAGGTCAAGAACATATCGATCAATTTCTTAAGCAACAATGGTAAAATTGGTTTGATATTCAGCACTGTGCTCACGTTTGCTTACAAAGCCAAATTTTTAGAAATTTAAGATTCTAATCACTCTAAATGGCATACTACCGTTGAGTAAGTACCACATAAAACCTTCCAATAACCATTTAAAAACCTATATTCATTTTTGTGCTTGATTATTTAGACTAGCTTTTGTGTTAAAAACGAGAATATTATGTTAAATATAAAATTACTACAAGGGTTCATTGCAAAAATTTAGGTCAATACAGGAAAGTTGAGTTAAAGATCAAAGAAAACGTTGCTACATGAGTTGTCTATGCTGGGAATAATTTCAAAAGTATGGAAAATTAATCAAAATCAAATTTAGCTGAATGAACGGGTCAACCAAAAGTGCCTTACATTTTTATGAGATAACTTATATACGCCTATAAAGAATTAAATTCAACCTCCTTAGCATAAGCTTCTCTCTGCATTTTCTCGCGTAACCGGGTTACATCCTCGTCTATTCTAACTATAGCTCGGATTTTCTAAAAAAGATAGGAGAATTTAACAATTTCTTTGTAATGTGAGCAACGTGTAGATTTTAGTAGTAGTACCTCACTCAAGTCACCAGGAGTTCGTTTCCACAACCAGAACATATATATTGGTATATAAAGCATGGATGACAATGCCGTAAACCAACCAAAAGCGTGCGCCCACCATGGATAGCTGTAGTCCAAATATTTAATTGGGGTCCACTGAACTATGTTGAAGAAGAAGACGCCCTAAAGAACAGAATAGTTAGTGAATGTTATATTTTTTTCTATGAAATTCTTACCAAGCATATAGCAGGGGTGGTTACACACCAACAGAATTTCCACCATACTGTGGGATAGTATCCGATCATATCCTTAATACCATCATAAAATCGATCAACTCCATAGCACCAAGATATAGAGACGCACTCAAAGAATATGAGCCATAGTAAGCAAAAGCCGCTGACTGCATACGAATCCAATATTTGAAATATATACATACCGCCCTACAAAAACGATCAAACCATATTAAATCGGGGTCTTAACGAACGAGACCTTAAAACCTACTTGTGTAATACAGGTTAAGCCCACTAAGTAGCTAAGTGCGCATACAATAGCAATAAAGATTTCTTTGCGTTTCCTTAGCAATTGAGGCCATTCATCAATAATCGCAGTGATAAATCCCTCCATTGTACAAAACTGTGAGTCCAATCCAATAAGCAACAGCATAAAGAAAAAGAGGCAAGACCACATTGGAGATCCCGGCAACTGCAGAACTGCCGATGGATAAACGAGAAATGCTAATCCAGGTCCTGATGCAGCTACTTCAGCTACTGGTCTCTGTTGCTCGTGAGCCATAAATCCGATAACAGAGAATATAACGAATCCAGCAAACATACTGGTGCTGGAATTAACTGTGCAGACAATTAACGCGTCTCTAAAAATAGTTGAAAAATGATTAACTTAGTTTTCTTATTGCGCATCACAACGTACTTATAAACATTGTTGGTAAACTTGTTGTAACTTCCTAGTGCCACTAGAGTTCCAAGACCAAGGCCATATGAGAAGAATATCTGCGTAACAGCATCTATCCAAACCTGAAAGACATTTTGGCAGTACTCAATATATATCAAGTTTGATAAATGTAAATTTATAATGTAGCAACAAACCTCGGAGTTTGACAACTTTGAAAAGTTTGGAATAATATAAAATTTAATGCCTTCCAATGCACCAGGTAACGTTATTCCACGAACTAATAGAACCGTCAAAAGAACATAAGGAAAAAGAGCTGTAAAATACACGACTTTCCCAGTCCATTTTACTCCTTTCCAAATGCAAAAATAGCAGAGGATCCACACAAGCAACAAAGTTCCAGCCAATTCCCAGCGAATATTTCCAATCTCCTCAATTCCATGTGAAATCTGAAGCGCACGACGCCTTTAACGAAACAGTCCATCGAATTAATAACAAAAAAGGAAGCTAGCATTGGTAAACCTAAGGTTATATACCCTTGCAGATCGAGCTTTAGAAGGTTTTATACAAATGTTACACGCAGATAACATGTAGCAAAATATTTATAGATGTTTTTGTATTATTTTTACATTTATTTTTTTTTTAAATTAAAAAAAAAATATATTCTGAAGAATGGAAGAAATAAAATATCCTAGCTTCTCTTAAATTCCTAAAGACAATAAAATGTACCATTTCATATAAAATCAGTAAAATGTAAATATATACGGGACAAAAGTAGCTTAGGGCCACAGCAGCTATAGCTACAATTAATACACAGGTGATAGACAATTTTTAACAGAAAATAAATAAATAAGTCAAAAATACATTTTCATTATTTTTTCGATAGTTCCTAGTGGGGTATACGATATAATGGTCCGATCTGCAAAAGAGGAGGTTTGGTCCCGATGGTTTAAAAGCTGAGAACTAGATTAAAAGCAGAAAACTAGTTTGCGTAGAATGGGATAGATGGACAGACGGACGTGAGTAGATTGACCTGCTGTTCGAGAATAAATATACTTTATAGGGTCGGAAACGACTCCACCGTCTGAAAGGGTATACAAATTAGCACATGTTTTAAGCTTTCACAATGTTTACATATTGACAAAATATTCACAATGTTTACATATTGACAAAAGACATATTGCTTACTCCCAAAATTCTTTGACTGGATCTGTAAGTTCGGAAGATGTAATATTTACAGCAGACACGGAACAAATTCTTTTTGCGGTTCCATTAATTATTTTGTCCCAGCAATTTAAATTTGTCCTTTCATATTGACTGACACAGCTAACGGTGTTCCACCAATTGTTACAAGTTCTCCAAGGTACATCTAAAAAAATCATATTCATTCATTACACTTTACAATTAATTGTACATACAGGGATGGTCAAAATTATTTGCACACATTACACGTAATTACTCAAAAGATATGTGCAAATACTTTTGACCACCCCTGTGTATAGTAATAGGTAATCACCTGCTCTCATTGACATGAAGAAGTAAAATACAGCCCAAGCCAGAATTACAATATAGTAAACATTCATCCAACAAGACATAACTGCAGCAGCATATCCAATTCCTTTAATAAAAATGTTTAGGTTTAACAAATTGAAAATAAACAGTTCCAATACCCAATAACAATGAGTATTGAATATTTAGGAATATATGTGAATATTACTATTGGTGACTGAAATCATAATACCCTCTGCACACAAAAAAAAACGATGTAAAATCAACTACTTAATAGTGAAAACTGCCCCAACCCATAAAAAATAGAAAATGATCCAAAAAATTTTAGATTACCTATAAAATAGTAGATGACCTACAAAACAGTATTTAACCCGAAAAAAAAGTTGTTCTTTTTAATTATGTTTTCAACTTTTTTTATTTTTAATTAAATTTGTTATAATAATTTATATGGGAGTTATTTATAGACACTTACATTTCACAGATACTTAAACTTACAAATCAGGTTTTTTGCCTCCGCTGGGAATCGAACCGGGGCCGCAACCATCGGAGTCAAGCACTCTAACCACTAGGCCACAGAAGAATGCTTTTTGTAGAGGAAAATCTATAGACTTAAAATCAACATTTAACAAAAAAAAAAAAAAAGAAAAATATATATGACCACCCTAAGTCTAAAAAAATAGTTGACATACAATTTATAATTGTATTTTTAAAACAACAAAATATATGAAGGAAAAAAATAGTTGTGTTACGATATTAATTGTGGTGTTACTATTTAATGCCCCAAAAAATAAATCAACAAAATACACGCAAACAAATAAAATAGTTTTGCTACGATATTAATTGAGACGTTACTATTAACTTGCCAAATGAATAAAACAACAAAATACATACAGGTTTTCTACTATTTTAATTGTTAAATACTATTCAATGACCCAAAAAATAAAACAACAAAATACATGAAAAATTCAGAAAATAGTGAAATACTATTTTTTTATGTTAATTTTACATAGTTTTTTTTTGTGTGTGCAAGGGTATAACGATTTCGGAAGCTAACTTCGGCAAGCCGAAGATTTTTGCAGATTTCACGAATTTGACTGGAATAAGAACATGTATTAATAAACAACAAAATATTTTATAAATGAAAAAAATTAATTTTTAATATTTTTACCGTTTTTCCAATAGATATAGAATACAGACATCCAATCGGGACGCCCTTTAATCTGATCAAGGCACGCATTTAACAAGAAAGGTAGCTAGCCTCGGCCAGCCGAAGCTTATATACCCTTGCAGATAAAATAAATACCTATAGTTTAATGCTCACTCGATCGGTGCAGTTCTAGAGATTGCAGATATATTATTGAAAATGTTGTTTTTATGTTGTCAAAAATCAAAAGGCCTACTTTCTGCAAAGTTACAATGAATTTTCTAATATTTGATTGATTAAGCTATAGTGGTCCTGCAATTGCGACAGCTTTAAAACTGAGAGACTAGATCGCATAGAAACGGACAGACGGACATGGCTAGATGGACTCGGCTATTGGCGCTGATCAAGAATATATATACTTTATGTGGTCGAAAACGTCTCCTTCACTGCGTTTCAAACTTTTGACTAAACTCATAAAACCCTCTGCAAGGGTATAAAAATACGATTTGAAATATAGCTTATATACTGCGCGAAATATAAAACGTCAAATCTTAACCAATTTCACCCTATTGTTCCTATGGGAGTTATAGGATACAGACGTCCGATCGGCACGCGCTTTTACCCTATCTAGCTCGCCATTTGTATTGGCTATATCGACTCCCCTATTTATCATGATCAAGAATATATATACTTTATCGGGTCGGAAGCGTCTATTACAATTTTTTTTATGACGCAGTATTTTTAAAGTTCAAAGTTCCGGACATTTTTCGTATTTTGTCTTATTTCTCGACTTGTATCCACAGTTAAGAAATCTATATCTAACCCAATTGTCAAGCTCTTGTAGTTTCCGAGATCAGAGCATTACTATTGTTGCACTTGCACCGTTCAAAATCACCTAAATTTGTTTTATACGACCCTGCAAGAAACGGGATCAGTTTTGGACCAGTAAAATACTAGTTGGGGCAAGAAAGTTAACTATAGTTAAGGTTATGTCCAATCTCTTGTAACAAACTGTCCCTTTTTTCATAGGCTTGTCGTTGGAAATAACTAGTTAATTTCTTACCAGTTTTGCACTAGCTGCTGTTAACCAATGCACTATGGGCAAAAAATTTTAAAGTGAGGCATTTTTACATTTTTTGTTCTTCAGAACGGAATCAAGTTAAGCGATAGTCAGCACACAATAGTTAAAAACAAGAGAGAACACTATAGTCGGGTGGGTGTCCCGACTAATGTCTTCTACATTTCGATAGGTATAAATATACTTCTCGGAAATCTTTAAAGGTGTGGGCGCCAGGCCATTTTAAAATCTTTAGTGGGTGATTGTGGGCGATAGGGGGGGCGTGGCGTTCGGCTGAAATAAACTTGCGCTGCGTAGGAAGCCCCAGAATATGTGTGGGAAATCTCAACCTTTTAGCTTTTTTAGTTTCCATGATCTCAGCGTTCATACAGACAGACAGATGGACAGACAGACGCAACATGGCTAGATCGACTTGGCTACACAGAGAGAATTATTTAAGTAATTTGTACTCAAATTGAGTATTTTTGTACTTGAAAATAAAGCATGAACAGCAATACTCATTCTGAGTACAAAATACTTACTACCAGTACAAATTTGTAAAAAATTTTTTACTCAAATTAAGTACATGTTCCATTTATTTAGTAAATTTTTACTCAAAATGAGTACAAACTGTACTGTATGAGTACAAACTGATCTCATTTTTGGAAATTACTTGGATAGTATTTTAAAAATGAGTATTGCCATTTCTCAAATTAAGTACTGAAAAATTATGGAATTGAGAACCAAATTCTCAATCCGAAGAACTTCCTTTCTTACTTGCACATTATTTTAAGGGCTATACAATTAGGGTGTTCAATTGCGTTGCAAGCGTTGTAAAGTGTAAAAGTGTAAGGCCTTGAAAACTATTTTGTATAGAAATTTCATTGTTTCATAATTATGTGAATAGTAAACTGTTATAAATAAAACAAACTTACTTTTTGTTTGACCCAAGTCGCCTTCTCCGCCACTTGAACTCCCGACCCTTGTGTTCATGCACGCGCGCACTAACCGGCTGAGCCAAACAAGCATCACATTCAGCAATGTCCAAACAACTGGATTTTAAACATTAAATGGAATTGGGCTATAATCAGCCCAACTAGCATCACATTCAGCAATGTCCAAACCGCGTATAAGATTTAAATTGTAATGCTTGCAATCAATTGGATTTTAAACATTAAATGGAATTGCGCTATAATCAGACCAATTCCATTTAATGTTTAAAATCCAATAAAATTATTAAAAATAAAACAAAACGCAGAATAAAAAAAAACAAAAATGTTTGTGTTTACCGGAATGGTGATTGAACTCACGACCCGGACGCATTAGCTATTAAATATTTGGCAAGAGTCATTTACTCCCTAGGCCAGCCTTTAAGAAGGTTCCTGTGAGTAATGTCATACTCATTATGAAAATATTTGTACTCAAGTTGGAAATTGAAGAACTTGTTTCCTACAATTAAGATTTTTGGGATCAATTCAAGTTTTTTTTCTTAAAGTGAGTTCAATTTGTACTCAATATAAGTTTTTTCCCAAAATTTGTACTCAAAGTCAGTACATCCTGAAAATGAGAATACAAATACTCAATTTCAGATCGTCAGAATTCTCTCTGTGTAGTGACCCTGAACAAGAATATGTATACTTTATGGGGTCGGAAACACCTCCTTCTGGCTGTTACATACTTTTGCACGAATACAATATACGCTTTTACTCTACGAGTAAAGGGGTATAATAAACTTCAGCAGTTTTTTTTCTTCTATAATCGTAATTTGCCAAAATGTCACAGAATACCTGTCTAAGGAAAATCGTTCCCAGTGGATTTCATCGAACGAAAAATTTCAATTTTGGAAAAGGACACGCCAAGACCACGGTTAAAGTGTAAGTTGGCATCTAAATCGGCGAAAGAAAAAGAATATTCGATGCCATTGCTTTTGCATGTTGCTTCTATTTTAACAAAAAATGTAAAACAAGAAGATACTTAAGTTTTGTTGCGAAAGGCGTTAAATATTAAATATTTATTAACAAATAAAATTTTTTTAAATCCTTGCCTTCTAAAGTATGAATGCGGCGTTTGTTGTGGATGGACCCATGGTCCATTTAACAAAAACCGAAATTGTATTAGTCTTACTAACATAAAAAACATTTGATCTATGCCTTCAAATTTATATACGCGACGCACAGTGGCGCCTTTTGACTTTTTTTTGGTAATAAATCATAACTTTTGAACCAGTGAAGATAATTGAATGATGTAAACGGCAAATGATAGATAATTGATCCACCTTTCAAATTATTGCTTGAGACAGGGAGTGGGCGTGGCAGAGGCGTACTTACAAATCGGCAAAGTCAGAATTTAAAAACAAATCTATTTTTTTCCGACAAAAAAAACATTTTTTTTAAAAGTTTTTGTTTTTTTATTTTCTTTTTTTATGTTGTAATTTTTAAAAATTATAAAAAAAAAAAATTGGGGGTTTAAAAAAAAATTTTTTGTAATGTTGTTTTGTTTAGTTTATTTTTTTATGTTTTATTTTTTAAAAACTAAAAAAACAATAAAAAAAATGTTTTTTATATTTCATGTTTTTTGAAATAATGGTCACAATTTGGTAAACTTTGTACATCCAATAGACTTAACATTTCTGGACTATAATTACTAGTTTCTAACTCTGTGACAAGTTTGTGACCCAAAAATACAGTTTGGATTCGCACATACTAAATTCAATGCTTAGGCAGCGTAAGTTGTTTTGAGCTGGCAAAAGTGGCTATTTTCGTTTCTGAACATGAACATGAACATTACAGTAACATGATATATACCAAAATTTAAGGAAATCGTTAGAGCGGTTTTAAAAAAAGCTTAAAAAAAATTTTTTAAAAAATTGTTTTGTGCATATCTTTTTAAATATTACATTTACACAAATTACATATAGAATGTGCTTAAAGCATTTTAAAATACCTTTCAAATGAGATAAAGCACAAGTCTATAGCTTCAGTAGTTTAGAAGTTATGGCCTTTCGTTTTTTACCTATTTATAGCTGTTTTCCCGCTAAACTAGCGGGTTTTTCCAAAAGTGGTAGAGCTAAAGTTTCTTATATCGAGCTGTTGAACATCATATCAAATTTTCAGGACTTTAAAACCATGTTTTGGACAAATCTTTCACAAGGTTGCGCCATATGCAATTTCCGGGACCATGACTTTTTTACCTTTTTTGGCTCTTAAAACCGCGGACGCAGGCGGACGCAGCTACAACTTTCGTGATATCAAGAAGAAAATCGAAATAACGTTTTACGGAAGTATAAAAAAAATAGTATTAAATAGTTTTTTTTTATTTTCCATCAAAGTTGAAAAATATGGAAAAAATGGACGTTTCGCAAATAACGCATAACTAAGAGATGCGGATGGCAAACTGCAATATGTTTTACTTTTTTTTACTCTTAACTAACACACCAATCCGTGGAAAAAAGAAGCGATTCGATGCCTAGTTTTTAAGAAAAACCCCCCGGAAGTGCGAAAAATTACCTAAAAACGGTGTGTTTTTTTTAAGTGAAAAATTGTTCAACCTTGAAAGTGCATATTTTTACAAAAATTTTTTGATTTGAAAAAGGGTTACATATTTGTAATAGTGGATCAATTACCTGTCGATTGGTATGGGTGGCAACTTTCTAGGACAAAGTCGAAAAAGTGATTTATTGCACGTTTTTTGGCCCAAGGCGCCACTGTGCGACGTGGCGTAGGATGAAGATGTGGTCCGATTGAAAAGGGAACCAAAACCGAAATTATATCTAATAGTCTAGTCACACTGTGTGGGGTAACCTATCGAGTGAGCCAATAACCCGATTACTCCAAAAAAGTGTTTCCACATGGTTAACTCCAAATATCGAGTAATGACATCTAGTGTTTGTTGTTTGTGTTGTTTATTTGACTAGAGATGGACCTTCAACGATAGGAAATAAATACAAAATATACCGAAATATACAAAAAAATACTCCGAAATACCAAAGACCCTAAAAGTACCCCACTTTTGCCCACATCTAGTTGCCTATACACATCCTATATAAAAACAAGAAAGGAAGCTAGCTTCGGCAAGCCGAAGCTTATATACCCTTGCAGATCATTCTATTAGTTTACAAATCGCAAAAATGTTAAATTTCTTATTATTTCACATTCATTTTTCGATCGTTTCTATCACAGCTATATGATATAGTAGTTCGATCTTTTAAAAATTAAAATCGAAATTCGGAAATATTTCAAAATAGTCATATCCCAGAGTAGAAGGAAATGTAATAAAAACCAACAAAGATATAATTTTTTTCACATTAATTTCCATTTAATTTTTCGACCGTTCCTATGGCAGCTATATGATATAGTGATCCGATTTAAAAAACAAAAAAACCGAAATTCAGAAATATATAAAAAAAAATATTCCCAAGAGTAGAAGGTAAAATTTCAAAAAACACCGGAGCTAGAATTTTTTTACGTTTTTATTTTTTGATCCTTCCTATGGGAGCTATAAGATATAGTTGTCCGATCCGGTTGGTTCCGACATATATACTACCTGCAATAGAAATACGACTTTTACGAAAGTTTCATCCCGATAGCTTTAAAACTGAGAGACTAGTTTGCGTAGAAACGGACGGACAGACGGACGGACAGACGGACGGACAGACGGACAGACGGACGGACAGACGGACAGACGGACATGGCTAGATCGACTCGTCTAGTGATGCTGATCAAGAATATATATACTTTATGGGGTCGGAAACGTCTCCTTCACTGCGTTGCAAACTTCTGACTGAAATCATAATACCCTCTGCAAGGGTATAAAAACAGGGTTATGTCAATAACCCCATAACTCCATAACTCCACCCCAGTGTAAATAGACTATTAATCCTTAAAGTATATACCAAATTTTTAGAATTTTATGCCTGAAAAACTGAAAATTTGCCCATAGTGCAATGTACTGTTACAGCTGTTAACCTACACAAAAAAATTCTTTTTACGAAAAAACTAAAATGTTTCCCTCAACCATTAAGTCATTGGATTTCACACGTACTTGAACATGTTTAATTTGACGCTCTCCCAATTGGTAGCTAATTACCAATTATAATATGTAGGTAACGCGGTCCGAAAAGGAATTCTGATAGTTGTTATGGAATTAAAGCCAAATTACTTTTTTCGAGACAAGTCGTTGGTAGACACAATAACTGATTGAGCCATACACGCATTACATTTTGTAATGCTCTTACAAGGTTTATGAATTTTAGTTAGATAATCTTTTAAAACAGTTTTTTAGCACATGTATGTATGCCTCCGACAGATTAAAGTTTAAAATAAAACTAAAGCGTCACCAAGCAAATAAAAAATAGTTTACGAAGACGGGAATTGAACCGAGGTTTGTTTGGGGCTATATTTTACCCGTTACTCGTAGAGTAAAAGGGTATATTGTACTCGTGCAAAAGTATGTAACAGGGAGAAGGAAGCGTTTCCGACCCTATAAAGTATATATATTCTTGATCAGGGTCACTAGCCGAGTCGATATAGCAGTGTCCGTCTGTCTGTCTGTCCGTCTGTATGAACGCTGACATCTCGGAAACTACACAAGCTAGAAGGTTGTGATTTTTCACACATATTCTTGGGCTTCCTACGCAGCGCAAATTTATTTCAGCCGAGCGCCACGCCCACAATCGCCCACGAACGATTTTAAAATTTGTCTGGCGCCCACACTTTTAAAAATTTCCGAGAAGTATAAATGCAATTTTGTTGTATTTATTCATACCTATCGAAATGTAGAAGACATTTTTCAAATCGGACCATTCATTAAAAAGTTATACGCAACCAACCCGACACCAACCCGACTATAGCGTTCTCTCTTGTTTTGGTTTAAAAAATACGATTTTTCCCAATTTTTTATCTCATGAAGATTACAACTTTTTGCTGTGAAATAAAAAGGAATAATTAAATATAGGGTCTTACCTTTAAATATGGGTGCAATTTTAAATACACCAAGACCACCAATTGTTAACATTTGACCAAGAGCTAACTCCATGAAAAACATTGGAATCCCAGCCAAAAACAACGTTATTATGTATGGCAATATGAATGCACCTCCTCCATTTTTGTAGCATAAATAAGGAAATCGCCAAACATTTCCCAAACCAATTGCAAGGCCTACCACTGATAGTATAAAATCCATTTTGGAAGACCATGATCCTCGTTCGGGGAGTTCGATTTTAACCAACTGAAAAAAACAGTAACAAAAAACATTATAATGGCTTGTTACTTTAGAAAATCCTATTAATTAGAAAAATACGCTCTTAATGTAAGACAAATAAATGACTTTTTAAGAGACATTTGCTCTTGACTCAGATTTTATGGCGAATATTTGCTTTGATGGCAATTTTAAAGCCAATCCGGAAAAATTAAAATAAATCATACGGACCTCTAGCCAGACAAAACTACACTCAAAAAAAATCGACCAAAATCGACCTTGGTTTTAGAAAATCGCCTATAAATTTGCTTTACTAGCGATTTTTTAAAGGTTTTCTGAAAAATAGAAATACGTTTTTTTTAGTATGGACAAATATATTTTAAATAACAAAAAAATTGCTCAGATCCAGAAAATACAAAAATATTTTTTCGGGCTTCGGGAATCGGAATTATGCCGGTTGTTTCTGTGACGCCACGTCCCACAGTGTAAGATTTGGCCAAACTAGGGGGACTTAAATCAGTAGGAGTCGTTTTTTTTTTTAAGATATCGGCTTCAAATTTGGAGTGAATATTCTCTCTTGCTCTTTTGGAGGCGTTAAAAATTGAAAAAAACAGTTTTTTTAAAGATAAAAACCCCAACAAAAATTAAAAAATTGTTCGAAACTTTGAACTATTTTCGTATTTTTTGTTATAATTTTCGCCAATTTAAAAAATTTTGTTTTTAATTTTTGGAGGCCACTTTTTTTTTTTTTTTTTTTTGAAAATGTGGAATTTTGGTTATATGCGGGGGTGTCACAGAAATTATTTCCAACCGAAATCCGTTAAAGTTCTTACGTGCATCAATGCAAAATCCAACCGTCTTCGGTTGGAAGAGATTTCTGTGACACCCCTGATGTTCACGTTTTTAGCAGTAACTTCGATGTTATAAGCTGAACAGCTGCAAATAAGGTTTTATATTAAAGATAATTGATAACAAAAACAAAAAAAATTTGGTTTATATTTGTAAGATTTTTATACCCGTTAGTCGTAGAGTAAAAGGGTAACAGCTAGAAGGAAGCGTTTCCGACCCCATAAAGTATATATATTCTTGATCAGGGGCACTAGCCGAGTCGATCTAGCCATGTCCGTCTGTCCCTCTGTCTGTCCGTCTGTCTGTCCGTCTGTCCGTCTGTATGAACGCACATTCATTAAAAAGTTATACGCAATCAAAATTTATATATCTGTCTCCCTCGCACTCCCTTTAGCTGAGTGACGGGTATTAGATAGTCGGGACACCAACCCGACTATAGCGTTCTCTCTTGTTTGTTATTAAATGGTAACAATTTAAACTTCATTTGGTAATTCATTAATTAATTTAGCTGAATTCCGTTTTCCTTCCGCCCGCAAAGCCTGTTCTGCAGCTGATAGCAATTGATCCTCATCTATCGTTGGCAACAATTCTTGGCTTTTCCTTTTTTGTGTTTTAGGACAATACTCAGAAAAGGCTTTTTGTGACCTACCTCTTGAACTTGAGGTGGAAGCAATGACATCAATGCGACAGTCTTCGCCATTTAATGTGACCTGAAGGCTACTTGCATTATGAGCAAAAAACCTGGCTTTATCTCTCCTAGATTTCTCAAATCGGTTTTGAAACTCAAATGACAGTGTAATTTCAATTTGGAGTGATCAATGTCATCGCCAAACACCATCACTGCGTGCTTTACAAGAGCGTCTCGCTGAGTGGTTTTTATGTTTTTCGACCAAACCTCGAAAAATGCAGCACGGCTTAATTCACTCATTTCTAAATAGAAGGTCTTTGGGCAAAATATGGGCAAGATTTTATTTTAGATTCTGAATCAGAATGAATGCATGCGAAGGATGTATGTTCTGGTTGGATAGAATAGGATAGAATAATATAAGTTTTTTTCCACCAAAAAACAGAAACACGAAAAAATACACTTACTTTTTGGCACTTTTTTCAAAAAATGAAAAAAAAAAATTGTTGTCTCAAAAAATGTTTTTGTTTTTGAAAGTGGAATAAAAATTGTCTAAAATTTCTGGGAAAAATAACTTTTGGCTTTTGGGTAAAACATTAGAAGCCAGGCTTAAGCCAGATTTAAGCTGTGACACTCATGTACCATTAAACACCAAAAAAGTTTTTGACCACTTTTTTTTTAAATTAGATAAAAAATTAATAGCGGGCAAATTGATAACACAGACAAATTTTTGTTTCTATATTTAAGATATAGGTTTTTGAGTGATTTAATAAATTGATAATTTGTCTAAAAAAGGATATCCGATGATTTGATTCTAGGCTTCTTGTCGAATTAATGGGAGTTTTATTGTCCTTTGTCGATATTTTTATACCTTTCTCAGTTCAAAACCTACTTTTAGTTTGTGTATAATAAATTCAAATGCTAAGAATTTGAAAATTACACAAAATTACAACCGATAATGGTACTAACCTGCTGCTTAGTGGACGCGTCCGTATTTGTTGGTGTGTTAGACTGCAAGTTTGGTGGGTGACCCAATTCTTTGCTCATTTCGATAGATTCGTGCTTGCGCCCATCTCCTCCCCCGTCACCATCGTTAGCGCAGTTTGTGTACATTTCGATTGCGTTCTCCTTTCAAGGAAATCGACCTTAAACGTAAAGGAATACAGACGGATGGTCTAGGACAATCGAACACTACAACTGAAGCTAGACTAGTCCGCTCCGATCCGATCTCGTTTTTGTCAGAAGTAAGCGTGGTCACAATAACAGCACCCTCGCAGGCCACTTGCTTGCATCCAACTGAGTATCTGAGTATCTAAACCACCTAAAATTAACCTCTGTTCCTCAAACCGAGATTGTCCATTGTGGTGACATGATAATATAAGCGTCGCTTAAATATAAGGGGGCTGGTTGGTTGACATTTTTACATACAATTTAATTTAATAATGATTTAAGAAGAGGGTTCTGGCAGAGCCCAATTTAAGTATGGTATACGGGCGCAGTGGTAACTTTATATTAAAGCACAGTACAACGTTGTGTAACGAAAAGGATAGCGGTATGCGCTGCTTGTGACTTACTGTACTCAATGGAGGTGTCCCCCACAAAACAATGCTTAGCAATTTACTGACCCATTTAAAATATTTGTATTTTTTCGGTGGTATCGCAGAAGGCAGATCTGTGCATCTACAACATATTATTGTATTTGTGTACCTCTGTATGTACATATGTATTTACGAGTGTAAACATTGTAAATGTTGAAAATGACTCCCAATGCACAAGACGAACGCACTACAATACCAAACTTTTTAATATATATAAATTTTTATACATTTTTTGACAAAGCGTAAAATTTAAAAGCTCTCTTTGTTTAGAATTAATATATTTTTACAATCCTTACTCAAAGGGTAAACAAAAAAAATAGATTTTCCTGGGACCGGAACAAGAGCCTTAAAACCTTTTAATTCTAGAAATAGTTTTCAAAAAAATTTAGTTCATTTAAAACTTATTGGCTAGGTATAGCGTCATGTCTCACCTTCACCGTCTCCATGCTATATAAAATGTTTACAATTTAAATCAACCCAAAAGCTAAATTATTTCTAGGACAAAATATTTAAGTTCCCGTTTAAATTTTTGTGAAATATTTGACTTTTTGTGCGATTCGTCACCTATGTGACAGCCCACGATGACGATCATGTGTGTCTTGCATATATAAATACACAGAAAACAATTTTTATATGAAATGTGGGCCAATTCAATAAATAATGTGAAACTTATGTTGAACACATCAACTTGATATACACACCCGGAAAAATAATGGACAACTTTTTAGGATCTGCATAACCAAAAACATTTTAAATTGACTAAAAGTTTCTTTTTAGGTCATGTACTGCCTAAAAATGTACATTTTTGGTATATTTGCCCAACTTATTGGTCCCGTATAGCCTAATTTTTTAGGTCATCGTAGGCCTTAAAATTAATCCATTTTACCTAAATAAATTTGACAGTTTAAAACCCTTTAAAACTAAATATATCTGATAAATATTTATGGTGTATCTAACCAAATAATAATAAATTATTATGATTTAATAAATTAATTGAGGTACTATTTGTAATTACATATTAAAATACAAAGAAATTCATAAATCTGTATTTATTTTATTATATTGTACATTTTTCAGCACTTAGCTTTTATGCCAATTTTACCATTTTTGTACATTTAAAGTGTTTTTTTTTGAGTATCTGTGCAACATAAGGGTTTTAAAAAGTAACTGCAGTTTGAATTTCAAAATCTTAAAGATCTATACCAGAAATTTGAATGGTCATAAGAGATATTGCATTTAGAAAACAATCCGCTTTAATAAATATATAACGCTAGCTAAAGCCAGAAGAACGCCATACTCGGTTTAAATCGTGTTGATAAACTGCGGTTACATTTTCCGAGTTGCACTCAATATAATTTATTTTATATAAATTATATAAAACTATTTTGAAATACAAAATGTTGTGTTTTTTTTTTAAATAAATTTAAAGTAGGGTTAAAACTCTGATTTCCCATACGATTTCAAGGTTTTAACCCTACTTTAAATTTAACAAACTGACGAGAAAACGGCCCTAAAAGAGATCAAATTAACGATTTCATATAAGCCTAATCTACTGTCAATTTTTTTTCTGTGTAGTCGTTATTTGAAAAAACTATATACCGACATAATGAGCGGACGTTTCATTTACAGTAAACTTTTTTATTTATTATAATAACGGACTAACAAAAACACAAAGTGAAGTACAGCTTTTTTTTAATGGTCTTTCCGATTTCCTTTTGAAAATTTTAGTAGAAACATGAAAATAAAATAATAACAAGAGAGGAGGATAGTTTCGGTTTGCCTACCCAGTATTACATTAGTTAAAGGAAGGACTACCCCTTTCGTACGGAATTGGGCATCGAAACATAAAATTGTTTACCTAAAAACTCTCCTTAAAAAATAAAACCGGCTTAAATCTAAGAAAAAATTTTTCAGGTGTGGCTAGGCCTATATATAAGAAAAATTGCCATAAAAAATACTTTTTCTGGTTAGATTTTCCAAAATTTTATTCTATTATTTAGTAAAAATTTTTATGAGCTGACTCTAAAAGTATTTTCTAATTTTAAGGGCGATCTGGCGATAATGGCTTTATAAGCAACCAAGATTTTTACACCCGCGGCCAGATTTTTTATTACTAATGCAATTTTTATTAGCAAAAAGAATACAAGTTTTTGTCTTGTTTAGTCGAAATTTATGGTGCAGCGGTAGGGCGTTAAACTGCAAGGAAAGTTTTGCTTATTTCAGTTCTAACGGCGGTGTTGTACAGGTTATCCTCCCATATGGCAACAACAAGTATGTACATTTAAATAATCTGAAACGGTGTGTGTGTGTGTGTGTGTGTGTTGAGTCAATCCTGTTTCCAGGAAATACGCGGTTTAGTAGTATATTTCTTAAGCCCAACCATGGCATTTATATTCTTCATCAGTCTATTCGTACCTGTCTGTCTGTCTGCATGGACATCGAGATCTCGGGAACTATAAGAGCTAGACAGTTGGCTATCTCCGCCCATTATAACGCCCATAATTAACGTCCATCATATACATATGTATAAACTTAAGCTTGCCGAAGTTAACTTCCTTTCTTGATTTGTTAAGTTATCGACAATTTATACTCTGTTTAGATCCCATATCGAAGTCACGATTATCGTTCCTAGTGCGAGACTGAACATTTCGAGCACCAAATGGGTTCCCCAGAAGGTCCGAAATCTTATCAAACATTGTAAAGTGTGTACGGAAATTAAGCACTGTACAAATCATAGCAAAAAACATGAATATGAGTTACGTGAATGCAACGTAAATGGGCCGACTTACTCGAAAATGTTTTGCAGTGGCTTAAAAAACATTTACCTACAAGGAAATCCCTCCTTGATAGCCATACAAAATCTCCACAAAAGACAGAAAAATAAATATTTGCACACAAGAACGACTCGCTAAATGGAAAATGCTCATGGCCATTTAACTGAAGGGGTGAAAGGATTTCATGCATTAACGAGGGCTGACCGAATAGTAGCATTAAAGATCAGGCACAGCAAGTAAGTGTTATGAATTTACTCCTGTAAAAATGTATTTCTTTGGATAAAATGACAACGAAAACATGAATACGTAATACGTAACCGCAAACAAGTCTCTTAGTTTTAAAACTATTAGGATTCAACTTCATCAAAAGTCTTCTTTTCATTGCAGGGGATATATACATAAGGGGCTGTCCATATACTACGGCAGTAGCAAAGCGACCATATCACCCCCCAAGGATCCGTGCATGGTTAAGCGGTTATTTCGGTTACACTGACCGACAAAATGTGGCATGTTTCGGTATCAAGGAGAGCCACCATTTTATTTCGAGTTTATTTTGAGTTGCTAATCACGCTGAAAAAGTTAATAAAATGTCCAAAGAGCGTTTGAGCTATCTACATACAACAAAAACACGTCAGAAATGAAACATTTTTTGAAATTTTACAGGTTGTATCCCCGTTAATTGCGGCCCGATAACAACGAGTAATAGCTTTTCGAAAAGGTGCATGTGTTGCCTTTTAAATGGTGCAAGTTCGAGATCTTTTAGGTTTTATAAAAGAAGTGCCGAAACGAAAAATATCTTCACAACGGTTCTTTGGAATTTCTTTTAAATTTGTTCAGCGTGAATAGAAACTCAAAACTAATCAAAAAAATTGGTCTCAAGGTTTATCTTTATACCCTTGTAGAGGGTATTATAATTTCAGTCAGATGTTTGCAACGCAGTGAAGAAGACGTTTCCGACCACATAAAGTATATATATTCTTGATCAGCACCAATAGCCGAGTCTATCTAGCCATGTCCGTCTGTCCGTCTGTCTGTCCGTTTCTATGCGAACTAGTCTCTCAGTTTTAAAGCTATCGCGATGAAACTTTCCCGAAAGTCTTCTTTCTATTGCAGGTAGTACATATGTCGGAGCGAGCCGGATCGGACCACTATATCTAAAGGCTTCCATAGGAATATTCAAACAAATATAAGAAAATTCACTGTAACTTTGTAGGTAGTAGGCGTTTTGATTTTTGACAACTTAAAAACAAAATTTAAATAATAGGCACGCTGAATCTGGAATTCCTGGAACTACTTTATCTGCAAGGGTATATAAGCTTCGGCTGGCCGAAGGTAGCTTCCTTTCTTGTTTTTTGCTGTAAACTAGTGTAATTGTTTGCAAAAGTAAAAATGACAGAAATTCTTTTTTAAATAAGAAATGCATAAGCAAATACTAGATTTTTTAATTTTTTTCTTTTGGAATATTGTTTATTAAACTATTATATTTCATATTGCATCAAAACAATTTCAAATTTTACCCTAAAACACCCTATAAAACAAGAAAAACATAAAAAAAAACAAGTAACTTTGCGATTTTTTCTATAAAAACTGGTTAGATGGATTCAATTCAAACCTTTTTATACCCTTGCAGAGGGTATTATGATTTCAGTCAGAAGTTTGCAACGCAGTGAAGGAGACGTTTCCGACCCCATAAAGTATATATATTCTTGATCAGCATCACAAGACGAGTCGATCTAGCCATGTCCGTCTGTCCGTCTGTCCGTCTGTCCGTCCGTCTGTCTGTTTCTACGCAAACTAGTCTCTCAGTTTTTGAGCTATCGGGACGAAACTTTCGCAAAAGTCTTCTTTCTATTGCAGGTAGTATATATGTCGGAGCCGACCGGATCGGACAACTATATCTTATAGCTCCCATAGGAACAATAAGAAAAAAAAAACTTTAAAAAATTCTAGCTTTGGTGTTTTTTGAAATATTACCTTCTACTTTTGGGGATGTTATTTTTTAAATATTTCTGAATTTCGAATTAATTATTTAAAAAATCGGACTACTATATCATATAGCTGCCATAGGAACGATCGGAAAATTAATGGAAAAGTAATAGGAAATAAATTCTAGCTTCTTTGGTTTTTATTGTATTATCTTCTACTCTAGGATATGACTCTTTTTAAATATTTCCGAATTTCAATTTTAATTTGATCAAAATCGGACGACTATATCATATAGCTGCCATAAGAACGATTCGGAAAATTAATGAGAAATATTAGAAAATTGAACATTTTTGCGATTTGTTAATTAATAGGAAGGATCTGCAAGGGTATATAAGCTTCGGCTGGCCGAAGCTAGCTTCCTTTCTTGTTTATATTATTAAGCGTCATTTTAATAACATCTACTAATTTTTATAGCCGATACTATCGGCTAATATATCAGTGGCAAAGCGATTGCTGGAACACTAACAAAAAAAGACGTTTTGCGGGGATCACTGTATCTCCTCCAAAAATTATTGGATTTCCATTCGGCTATTACGTTTTGCCTAAGAAGATTTGTAATATTTTTTTTTTTTTAATTTTTTTTGCTCTTCCAAAGTCAAAATGCAACAAATTTAAATTTAGAAATGGCAATAATCACGGACTTTAAAAAAATGGTTTCGAGAAAAACGCACTTAAGCATTGAACATGGAACACACAAAAAAGAAGTTTTGCGGTGATCACTGTATTTCCACCAAATGTATACAGATTTCCATTATGCTTTTACATTTTGTTTAAGAATAGAAAAACCAGCCCCCTGGGAAGTTTTTTTTTTATTTTTTAACTTAAAATATTTTTGTAACCGTTCAAAGTAATACCCGTCACTCAGCTAGCAGTGCGAGAGAAATGGATATATAAAATTTTGATTGCGCATAACTTTTTAATGAATGGTCCGATTTGAAAAATGTCTACATTTAGATAGGTAGGGGAGAGTGGGGTAATTTCGGCACAGGGGCAATTTCGTCACCTGCAATATCTCGGAATCCATAAGTCTTAAAAATATATAATTTTCTTTGTTTTAGTCCCTCAAGACGGCATGACACAACCAATGAATTTTTTTTGCACAGAAGGCCAAGATAATTAAGCTATAATATTAAATGTGTTTTAACAGTTCAAAAGCTACATTTAGTTCTCGACGAAATTTTTTCTGTATGCCACAATTCAAAAGGAATAATATACACGATTTTTTATATAATACACAGTGCTATAATGTGCATTTCTGCGTTAGTGATTTTTAACTTCGCGCCTAATTTCGGAAGAAAAATAATTATTTCTAAAAAAGTACTGTCTGGGGAAATTTCGCCACCCTATGCTTAGGGTAAATTCGCACCTATTTTAAATACATATTTTTTTATTTGACGAGCTGGCTAACGAACAGACTACCGGCAGCAGCAACAAATATAGGACATCAACAAAAATGGTACGCTTGATCAGTGTAGCATACTTACAGGCGTAAAATTCCCTACATTTTTCAGGTGACGAAATTGCCCCAGTGGTGTGGCGATTTTGCCCCCCTATGTGGCAGGATTGCCGCAGTATATTGGTTTTACTTTTTAATTTTTTATAAATCACCAAGGTAATTAAAAAAAAGGGGGAATGTCACATTTTAAAGCTTGGTGCCAACCGCCTTCAACAATAAAAAAGAAATATGGTAACGTGTCTCAAGATGGACAAAAAATAGCTTTGAAAAAATGCTGACGAAATTACCCCACTCTCCCCTATTCACTTCTCGGAAATCTTTAAAGAAGTGGGCGCCAGACACATTTTAAAATCGTTAGTGGGCGATTGTGGGCGTTAGAGAGGACGCTTCATTCTTCCTGTTACATACTTTTGCACGAATACAATATACCCTTTTATTCTACGAGTAACGGGTATAAAAATAATAAACTTACAAAAATATGGACCTTTCCGGTGATACAAGTCTCATTCCAATGACTCTTTATTTATAGCTGCTTTGTCTAACCAAACTTTTCCTCCTATTAGTGCCCCTTCTCCCCTACTGAGTCGAATATTTTAGTTAAGGCAGCTTGATTATTATTTTAAAATGCAACAACATATAACATATGTTTCCAGCTATTTCCTGTTAAAATAACTGGTTTTCGGAGCGCTTCGTAACTATGCGTACTGTAGAGAGAAATGGTGATCGTAATCGTATTCGTACTTTAGCGCTAACTGGTAAAGAAAGGGAGAAAAGCACGCATTGGGAACGTACGATAAGAGAAAATATACTCGTGAAAGATGTACAGTTTGGAAGCAGCCAAGTCCGATTGAGTAGGTATGACACGGCAGGGGTTTTGCATGTTCACAACACACAGTACATGCTCATTTGGTTGTGTTCGTCCGGCGCATTTGTGTGCGGTAGTGTGGGTGTGAGACTGTTGTTTATATTGCTGCTGTTAAGTAAGCATTTGCTGTGGGGTATTTTAGTCGAATTTGAAGCAACGCCCGAACAGGTTCGGTATAAATGTGTATAGGAATGTTAATGAGAGTGCGAACGAGACGAAAATATGTACAAATTTTCGTGGAACTGTGATCATTTATTTACTTTTACCGAAAGTATGTTGTGTTGTTTCCTTAAATTAATCCACAAAAAAAAATTTCTGAACCTGAAAGCAAACAGATGCTCACAGAACTTATGTACATAATTAAGTACATAGTGTGGATGTAAAGACTTTACCAAAATTCTGTACTCCGATTGTTACATGTGTAAAGAAGAGGCTAGATATTTGAAGAGCAATGACCGAATGAAAGGAAAGATTACCTACTGTCTTATTATCAATATCAAACGAAATTTGATGGCCATGTGGAGAAAACATGATAATATACATTGAACCAAACATTTCACCAAAAAACAAAGCGCCAACAGAGTGGTGCGGTCTTCTACAATACAAATGTAAAAGTAGTTACCCAAAAACAAAAAAATTGTTAGCATATAGGAACAAGTCCACCTGGATTTTGAAGATTATTTTCCATATTTATTTCTACCGCACTACAAATACAAAACGGATTAAAGAGCTGGAACCTACTTTAAGACCACCGCCTTGTGCTGAACATTTTCAGTCTAAGCTTGCCAAAGTTTGTTATAGGTATCCAAAATACTCCCGAATATGGTTTATACTTGTTTTATTGTTGCCAACTCAGCAACAAGCCAGTGGTCATGGAATGTACCGCCAAACGTCAAATTCAAACGTATTTTCTTCATCACATAAGCAAAATGAAAATGCGCAAATTCGTATTTCGCTAGTTAAAAATCAGAATAGTGGAGCTGAGAGTCTACAATCAAGAATACAAGCCAAAATAACAAGTTCGGAAAAGGATCTTAACAATTTGTCCAAAATAATTAGTAAGCAAAGCAGAACCTCATTCTATAATGCCAGTTCAAATAAATATAGTCTGATTAATCTAAGCCAGCCTAAAAACGCGTCTCACCTAATGAATGATAAAATAGAACTTGAGTGGAACAACACGGTACCAATTCACAATAGGCAAACAAGGGAAAGTAAACATATTCGGCTAGAAACTAAGAGTCATAATAATAGACCGAAAAAAATAGATGAAGCCAGGCTTAAACGCTTAGTTTTAAAGGGGCTTGGAATGAAAAAAATACCAGATATGAGAAAGGTAAGACACTAAATGACAGAAAAACTTTAAAGTAACGCCTGAAACCACAAAATACAAAATGAGTGCTTTAATAAATATTATCTACTTACAGGTTAATATAAGCCAAGTTGAATATTCCAACAAATATATAGAATACCTAAGCCGTCTAAGGAGTAACCAGGAGAAGGGGACGAGCTATTTGAACGACTATATTGGATCTTCATCTATATCAGACCTACATCTATTAAGCATTATCACAAACAAATTTAATGACATTAGTCACAAACGATGGCGTCATAAAAGATCATTTACAAATTTGAACAGTAGACAAAACAGAAAACAAAAAACTAACGAGGACTCACAATATGGACAACAGGATAAAACCAATATTCTTTTGCACTTTCCACTGACAAATGTAAAAGATGCCAAGTTTTACCATGATAAAATTGACGAAGCCAATGTCAGGCTTATGCTCCTCTATAGCTCATCCCTAGCAACTAATTCCCACCGATGGCAAGGACCTAGAAAAAGGAAATTTGATCAAATTTCTTCTTCTGTTATGAATTGTAATTCTGGCGATTTCAAATCTAATCAGTCGAAAAGGGTACGAAGTCGGCAATTAAAACTAAAGGTGTATCAACTACTTTCATCGAACAGAAGAAGACTTCTAGCGTCTCGTAAAATTGAGTTTGAAAATATTGGATACGAAGAAACGCGTACTCAGTGGATAGAATTTGACGTAACAAAAGCGGTTCGTAGTTGGATGAACAAAAGTCATGAAAACTTGGGAATAGAAATTCAATGTGATAAGTGCAAGAGTATAGGTGCTCGTATACTTAGCGACTCAAGTTCATCGATGCAATCATCATCTGCAAAATCGGCGACTGTAGACAACGAACGCTTTAATCTCATGCCAGTTTTAAATATAATCGGACACGGAGCCCTGAAGACCCGAAAAGAAGGAGACTCGGACATTCATCACATCATGCTGACAAATAATAGAAGCGATGAATACGTACATCATCGTTCGAACCATGATTCCACCTGGAGAAAGGAAAAATGGAACAACAACTGTTACAAATCGCACCAGCGATGCTGTAGAAATCCGTTGGATGTTGCTTTTAAGGACATTAAGGGTTTTGAGTTTATACTACAGCCAAAAGTATTCGATGCAGGTTATTGCCATGGAAGATGCCCACCACGTCACAATCCCGCCCACCACCACGCCCTATTGCAAAGTCTTATATGGCAAGAAGATCACAACCGAGCACCCCGTCCGTGTTGCGCTCCTTCAAAACTTGAGATGCTCGAAATATTACATGTTGACGAAGATCACAGCGATAAGCTCAAAATTTCCACATGGAGTGATATGCAGGTTGTAGAATGTGCCTGTTCTTAAACGAAATTTAACTCTCAAAATGCCTTAACGATTTATATCTACATACAATCTGTATTTACCAATCTTTTTTATTATTGTGCCTAATTTTAAGGTAAACATTTTTGTGCCGCTTAAAAAATATAATAAAAATGTATATTTTATTTAAAAAAAGAAGAAGGATCAGTTTCATTGTCAAAATTACGAGTTGCTTACAGTGGAGAAATTTGGCTTTAGCTAATATGGGAAGAAATGTCATAGTTCACACAAATAACTGACTCGGAAATTTGTTTTATTATACCCTTGTAGAGGGTATTATAATTTCAGTCAGATGTTTGCAACGCAGTGAAGGAGACGTTTCCGACCACATAAAGTATATATATTCTTGATCAGCACCAATAGCCGAGTCTATCTAGCCATGTCCGTCTGTCCGTCTGTCCGTCTGTCCGTCTGTCCGTTTCTATGCGAACTAGTCTCTCAGTTTTAAAGCTATCGCGATGAAACTTTCCCGAAGGTCTTCTTTCTATTGCAGGTAGTACATATGTCGTAGCGAGCCGGATCGGACCACTATATCTTAAGGCTCCCAAACAAATATAAGAAAATTCATTGTAACTTTGTAGGAAGTAGGCGTTTTGATTCTTGACTACTTAAAAACAAAATTGAAATAAATCGAAACGCTGAATCTGGAATCCCTGGAACTGCACCGAGTGAGTATTCTTTTATCTACAAGGGTATATAAGCTTCGGCTGGCCGAAGGTAGCTTCCTTTCTTGTTTTTATACCCTTGTAGAGGGTATTATAATTTCAGTCAGATGTTTGCAACGCAGTGAAGGAGACGTTTCCGACCACATAAAGTATATATATTCTTGATCAGCACCAATAGCCGAGTCTATCTAGCCATGTCCGTCTGTCCGTCTGTCCGTCTGTCCGTCTGTCCGTTTCTATGCGAACTAGTCTCTCAGTTTTAAAGCTATCGCGATGAAACTTTCCCGAAGGTCTTCTTTCTATTGCAGGTAGTACATATGTCGGAGCCAGCCGGATCGGACCACTATATCTTAAGGCTCCCAATCAAATATAAGAAAATTCATTGTAACTTTGTAGGAAGTAGGCGTTTTGATTCTTGACTACTTAAAAACAAAATTGAAATAAATCGAAACGCTGAATCTGGAATCCCTGGAACTGCACCGAGTGAGTATTCTTTTATCTACAAGGGTATATAAGCTTCGGCTGGCCGAAGGTAGCTTCCTTTCTTGTTTTTGCTGTTTTCCGACAATGTAAGAAAAATCAAAAAAAAAAAAAAAATGGCAGGTGCAAATTAAAGATATTTAAACAACTTTTTGTTTTATTAATTTGTTTAAAAATGGATGGTTTTCTAAAAAACGTAATGAAGTACTTTAAATAGGTAACAAACATCACTGTGGACGGTAGCCCACGTGGTGACGCGAAGCGCACCAGGAGAGTGTACAAAGGCGACTACATATGGGCAATTCTCCGGGAATGTCAACCAAGCCAAAAAGCTTGAAACTTGATAAAAACATATTTCTATATGATTTTGCACTGATATTGGATTCTCGTTAGATGGATCCTCAACTAAGCTAAGTAATTTGAGAATCCTTGGATAGTATTCCAGGACAATACCTGTTATATGATCAAAAAAGTTTTTTTTTTTGTATTTTTTAATCGTTTTTTTGACGTTAAGGCTACAGAAAAACCTCCTAAGAAAATGACGGAAAATACTGTCGCGTGCGATATGTAGCGTGTGACAGTCACTTCAATGCCAATAAAAAAATAACCACTCAATATTTTGTAACCAAACCAAATAGAATTTAAAGAAGAATGGACAAGAAACACTATGAAATTAACTGCATTAAAATATTCCTTCACGTATCGTTACAATCGAAAGTTAAGCAGGAAGTCAAAAAAGTAACTTCTATTGGTGTCGCGTGTGAAAGTCTTGGTTTTTATTAGGATTGATTCATTATTTTTAAATTTATTATTATTTTTATTAATTATTTTAATCTTAAAAACGAAAAATGGCCTAAGGTCAGCCCTATCATATATTTTAGTGCTAATCAAGACCTTTAATTTGAGAAATGATTATGATTAATGTGAAGAAATAAAAATCTGCTTTGATGGTCAGATACTAGCGAATGATACACCAATAAAATGGTACCGTACCAAGACTTTAAGAAAAATCTATTGGTTTGGGAAAAATAGCGGTGAAAGTGAAAAAGTAAAAACTAGGAAGGAGATAAATGCCTCTTTGATTTGACCAGTTGTATTCTTACTGTCGTTTGTATCAAATAAAAACACCTCTTAACGAGGTAAAAAGGTAGTGACGATCGCACCTTCAACATACAAAAGTTGTGATGTCCAAATTTTTAACGATAAATTACACTGTGCAGCATTTTTAATGCTTTTTAAATTTACCTCGATGGATGCTATATTTTTGGATTCGTTATGAATTCCGAAGTTAAACTGCGTTTTCCAAAAAGTTCCCCGACGCAAGGATTCTTAGCAAAAGGACCTCAAAGTTCGAAAAATGCTGAAATTGGTTCACTTTCCGAACCTCTCAGAGGCAAACGGATTCATGGTTTGTTTCGATGTTAAAGTTTTTTAAAAGATACACTCTTTATCTTTCGAACCCCATACTTAGAATAATTTTAGGATTTTTATTAAGGGGGAAACAAATTTTAGAAAACATAGTCAAAAAACATAAAAACATACAGCTGCGGTCAAAATAGTAGTAGTATTGCCGCCCTGTGTTTTTAAAGGTTTGTTGTTGTAATTTTCCTTCTCCTGGTAATATTGTATTGATTATAATTGTACTATTAGACTAATTAATAAGAAAAGTGACAAAGGAAACAAGAAATAAAATTTCAGTTTTAATAGTAGTTTTTTATTTGAAATCGATGGTGATTTGTTTTGGTTATTTTTAAGAAAAATTCTTTGTTGAAATTTTGTACCAAGAAATAAATTTCATATTTAAATGTAAACTTTCTAGTAACGAGAAATTTCTAAATTTAAAAAAAAAAATTTTATGAGTGCATTTGTAATTTTCTGGACATTTTTTAAGATAGGAAGTTAAACGTTAGTCTAAAACAATTCGTTTATTGAGAGAGTTAGTAGTTGCCTTTCGTGTTTTAAAATTAGGGTAATTTATAGCACATTAGAGCTGACATATGTATGTCTGACTTGCTTGCACTTATGTAAAATTGTAAAGCCTGAAAGTAACGCCTAATTTATAACTTTGTATGCAATGACATTATACCACGATTTGTATACCTATATGGCCATCATCTTTTAAAGAACTGAAGAACAAAATTCCTAATTTTCTTTCACCTTAAATTCTTCTAAACCAATTGACCTTTGAAGGTTCATACAATAACGCGGCGTTTTAAATGTGAATTCGACTTACCAGGCATATTAAATTGATAAGACTTAAAAGTCCTCTAGATCCAAAATTTAAGATACGGTTATATTTCTATTCTTTAGGTCGGAAAACCGTACCGTTCGCACAAATGTACTTTTATTGAGCTTTTAAATATTTTATGCAAAGTAAGCCATGAATTAAAGTCTAATGAAAATGAATAATTTTGTTAATGTCACTTTTATCACAACAAAAAACTGTAAGAAATAGCTAAGCAATCAAAGCGACGCTATACTTATATAATTAGCTTGAAAAATTGAATGATAAATAATTGATACACATAAATAAAGTAATTTTTTTATAAGCGAAGTAAAACAATACTTTTTTCTATCATATATTCTAAAATTCTAGTTAAGAGAACCTATAAAATCCTTATTCTATATAATGTGTTCCTGTGTTTTTTTATTTCACACGTGTCATTTATGTACTTTTTAATATATATATATATAACTATATATATATATTGTATATAATATATATTATATTATTTATATGTACATCTTAAACTACTAAGTCAAAATAGAACGGTTATATTATAGTGTCCAGTTGCCGGGCTTGGTGTAAAATCTTTTTTTGATGTCCCACCAAAGTAATTCCCATATCCGACAATTGTTGAGCTGTTAACCTAGAAATCTGCATGCGCAAATTCTAATTAGTAACTTTTAATAGCACACTAAATTTGAATAATCTTACCTGTTGAGCATTAATTAAATTAGCCTCTTTGAAATGCTGACAGTATCTTGACATTTTAATATGCTCCAACCAAAGGTCGGTGCTTATGAAAATATTTTGTCCACGTTGCGTATCCAAAATATGAGTACCGTCTGATTCGGGTGAGTTTCGAGTTGTCAATAATGACTGTGGTTGTCTAGCCAAGTTGTCAAGAGTTGAAACGATGCTTGCAAATGTGGGTCGATGAGTACGTTGTTTTTGCCAGCAATCTAACATTAGCTGGTAGAGGGCTTCTGGGCAGTCCATCGGAGCTGGCAAACGGTAGCCTTTTTCAATACTCTTTATCACATCCTAAATAAAATGTATATATAATGTATATAAATATAATTACAAATAAAAAGTTATTTATTTTATGTTTCTCTTTACCTGATTTGACCAGTTCCAATATGGACGTTCCCCGTAGGACATGACCTCCCATAGAACTACTCCATAGGACCAAACATCCGATGCGGAAGTAAATTTTCTAAAAGCAATAGCTTCTGGCGCAGTCCAACGTACTGGAATTTTGCCACCCTTCAAATATAGAACATAATACGTTAATGGTATTTCACAGGGAAGATATGCAGGGATGTGTGTATGTGTAATGGTATTTCTTACTTATTTTAATAAAAACAAAAGAGAACGCAATAGTCGAGTATTACGACTATCAGATACCTGTTACTCAGCTAAAGGGAGTGCGAGGGAGATGGAGATACGCAGTCGTCAGAGCTATAATGTTTCAATTTTTGCTCATAACTTTTTAATGGATTATCCGTTTTCAAAAAAAAAAAAAAAAAAAGCATTTAAACTTTTAAAAAAATTTTAAAGTTGTGGCCGCCAGTCCTTTTTTGAAGACCTCTAAAGCGATTGTGAACGTCAGAGTCGCCGTGGAGCCCGGCTGAAACAAACTTGCGCTACGTAGGAAGCCCAAGGATAACACACATATCCTAGCTATTGTAGTTTCCGAGATCTCAGCGTTCATCCAGACGGACATGGCTATATCTTCTCGGCTAGTAACCCTGATCAAGAATATATATACTTTATAGGATCGGAAACGCTTCCTTCTAACTTTTACATAATTCTACTCTATACTCTATACTCTACTCTACGAGTAAAATCTATACTCTACGAGTAAATTTTGTTGTGTTTATTTTATACCTATCGAAATTTAGAATACATTTTTTTAAATCGGTCCATTCCACTATGGGAAAAAAGTCAATTTTTTTGGCATAAAATAAACTTGTTTTACAAATTATTTTTAAAAATAAAATATATTTTGTGAATTTACATACCCTAATTAGCCAAGAACAGTTATCTAAGATTTTTTACTAGCAACACTATAGGGTTGATAAACGAACAAAGTCAGCTGTTTGATTGACTTTGTTGTGTGCGTAAATTAGTGAAAAATCTTTGCAAACTTTCAGTGCTTATTTTGTGGAGCAACAAAATGGTTTATTATTTCTGATCATGTCAAATCGTAGCAAAGGTATTTATAAATGTATCTTAGATTACATGTTTTGATTATTATGGCTTGTTGTCCAACTGTGAACTGTTTTAAATGTGTATCTTTTTAGCTTAAAACTAACAAGTTTGTTTGTGTTCCGTGGTGTACAACTTATAAATGGCACAAAGTTGCAAAAAGGTAAAAACGCAAAGTTATTACCAAATGTATCCTTAATATCGCAAAACTAATCATTTTTGCAACTTTTTGCACGTTTCTTAAAAAAATTACTTAAATCCAGCAACTTATAAACATAAAAAAAAGTTCTATTTAAATAAAAAACAATCTAAGTGGCTTTCATTAATCTTAAAAATTGAATTCATGGAAAGGGACAATTCAAATGAAAATCCTGGCTGCAAAGGACTCAAATATAAAGAAGCTGGACCCCCGTTTAAGCTAAAATTGGCATCTGCTCTTAGATAATATTTCACTTTTCTTGTACATGTCACCAATTTTTTTGTTTTTGACAAATTTTAAAAATTAACGTAAACCGAACTTATTTTACCGTCTTACCAATACAAATACAAATTTTTTAAAATCCCTGCCAAATAATTTGAATATGCGGCGTGGGCGGTGGATAAAAACAATGGTCCGAATCAAAAAGCAACAAACACCGAAATTACAGCTTTATCTTAATAGTATATATACAAAATTTCTAATTTGTATCTCTAAAACTAGAGTTTATGCCAAAAAAAATAGACTTTTTCCCATAGTGCATTCGTTAAAAAGTTATGCCCGATCAAAGTTTCATATCTCCATCTCCCTCGCACTCCCTTTAGCTGAGTAACGGGTATCTGATAGTCGGGGCACCCGACAATAGCGTTTTCTCTTGTTATATCAATCAATGATTATCAATTTCAAATTTTTATTTCAAATTTAGTAATACATCTGAGCTGACTACTATGATATTTTCCTTAAAAAAGCTGTATTGTTCATTCGCGTTTGGGGGGTCAAAAGTAATTTTAGACCAGCGGTCGGCACACACATACGATGACATTTTGTTTTATATTTGTGTGAGTAATTTGCACGGGGCAGCTCATTGATGTGTGTGTACAGACTGCTGTTTTACAGTGTCCGTGAGGGGCAGCGTGTGAGCAGAGCAATTCCCTATGCTCACTTAATAGGACGCTGCCGACCGCTGTTTTAGACCATAAGTATGTTCGCCAATATGGTTTAGAATCCTTTAAAGATTACGTTCCCCCCATACGATTTATCACTTTTTTCGGCCCCAAATCGACCCGCCCTAATATATATACTTTATAGGGTCGGAAATGCTTTCTTTTAGCTGTTACATACTTTTGCTCGAATACAATATAATCAACTACCCAGCGGCGAACAGGCGAATGGGGTCTGGAGAAAAAATGCATTACATGTAAAGAAAATGTAACCGATTACTATCGCTGCTTTTCGTTAGAGAAGTTGTAATCAGGGCTCTTATGACTTTGTTTTTTCGTTCGCTAACGATTTCCCTTCGTCAAAAATCACAAACACACATAAAAATTATTGTCTATGTGTTCGTTTTTCGTTTCCCCTCCCTCAAGTTTGAGCTTCGGAACTTTAATAATAACAGCATGCATTCTAACTATAGTTTGACGAACTAAAAAAAGCACAGACAATGGCCGAGCGGTTAGCCTTTCCATCCATTATACAATAATACCCATGTTCAATTCCTACATGAGGAAAGAATATTTTTTGTTTTCATAAATGAACATGCATTACAACTCAGCATACGTTTTTCAAATTGTATGTTGAATTTTCTCTAGTCTGTCTACATTTTGCATTAAAATTTCGGAAAAGTATATTGAATTCGTAATGGAGACCCGAAGGTGATTCGGCCCTAGCATACTTTTCCCATTACTAGTAATGCAAATTGTCTCCCGACCACATTACAAGGCGGCCATGCCTATGGCAAAGTAATCCATGTTGTAATCCATTGTTTCTCTATTACGACAGGAGAAGTAATGCATTCGTAATCCATTTTGTAATGGCAATTTTCGCCGCTGGGTATGACTTCATTTCTTTCTCTTAGTTGGCTTTGGGGAATAAGCTGTCATTTTATCGAGGGAGTCCGAGTCTCTGTCAAAGTTAGCTCTCACTTTATTGCTCGAGAAAGTCAAGATCCCTTAGCAGGAACTTTATCTGTTCGAAAAAATTATAGCCGGGACTTAAAAAAACCGGCCCTAAGAGTTTTGTAATGAATGGCATTTCAAAGCGACCAATTTCTGGTTTTGAAAACTAAAAGCCTATTAGATTTATAAACAGTTAAGTACATAAAAATATTTTAAGATATCTGATCTATGGTACTTACCCGTGTTGTGTATGCGTCACTGGCGTTCTCAATTTCGCGTGACAACCCAAAGTCCGCGATCTTGCATATTAATTGGGCATTTACAAGAACATTTCGTGCCGCTAAGTCTCTGTGTACATAATTCATATCACTTAAATAGGCCATCCCGCTGGCAATACCTCGAAGCATTACTATCAGCTGTAAGGTTTGAAACTTTCCATCATTCACACGAAGAAATGTGTCCAAGCTGCCGTTTTCCATGTACTCCGTAATAATCATTACGGGATTTGAGCGTGTAACTACTCCCTGTAGATAAATAACATTTGGATGATCGAACTGTCCCATTATGGAAGCCTCCGTCAAAAAGTCACATCGCGCTTTTTCCGAAGATCCTGTGAAAACAAATATTTATAGGACTGGTAAAAAATGTAGTTCTTTTTTTTAAGTTACCTGGTTTTAAAGTCTTTATTGCCACATCAATGTCCTGTACAAAATTCGGAGGTATTTTTAAGCGGCCACGGCAGACATCGCCAAATTCTCCGCCGCCTAAGGAATTCAATTTTTATTTTTTCTGAACTGTTATTTAAACGTTACGAAAACTTACCGATAATAGCTTCTATAGTAATGTAGTTTGCATCAATTTCCCGAGCGAATTCCCTTATAGCTTGATTAGGGTCTTCATATGTATGTGGATCTACATAGCTTCTACTATTTCCAAACAGAGGAGTCGTCACTAAAAACGACAATGGAAAATAAGAAGCTTGATAAAATTACCAGTAGTCCGAATTAATAATACCGTTCCTAAGTATTTACACATTACATTACACATTTTTTAATATTATTTGAATAATTAAGATCATTTATTTCCATGCAGAGGATATTCTGATTTAGATCAGTCAGGTCCCAATTCTTGGGAACTTTTTCTTCAAATTAACCATTAACCAATTACTTTTGTGTTAGTTTCCTCTCCTTTTTTATAAGTAATTACCGCACATCACAAAAATTAAAGGAAAAATATAGAAGAAAAATACTAAAAATACTTTAAAAGTATAAAACTTGTTGGTAATACTATACATTAGCGGGCTCACCCCCGAAATTCGCGAAAAAATTATCCTCTATGGACCGCGATTTCTTAAGAATTTACGTGCAAAAAGGATTTGGCGGTCGGCCATGGTTCTCTTGTAATTGAATTTCAAAGTTCCCGGGTTTGCTATAAAAAAAAAAGTATGCTTTTCTAACATTTGCTATAAAAATTATATATGTATATATGTACCCTTTTCCTTTTTTGTCAAAATAAGACTAATTTAAAATTACAAACATCTGAGTAATTGGTATTATAGGGAACTAGTCCTCACAACCGCGTAAAAATGATCCTCGATGGACAGCGAGTTCTTAAGAACTCTCATAACCATGGATGACCACATGTGTATTTTTATTATGATAATCAGAAGAAATCGCGGTCCAACGAGGATTATATATTTTAACCTTTCTTTTAGTCTTTTCCACCCAAAACTAAACTTAAAGATTGAATTTGTTTTTTCTGAGCGACACACCAACCCTAATTCAGCTGAAACTACTAGCTTAGTATTGAACAAAAGAAACTGCGCCGCAGTCAAAAAAAAATTTAAGAAAAAATCGCGCGATAAGAAAAAATCGCGCGATTTTTTCTTAAATTTTTTTTGACTGCGGCGCAGTTTTTTTTTAATTTCTTTTTTAAACGCACTTCTTTCAAATACTTCCTATTCGGGAATACTTCAGCAGAGAGATATCTAGGCCATAAAAGGTTATTAAAGAAAAAACCTGGAACTTTACCTCAATGGTGGTGCGGAAAAGTGTTCATTAAAACTTTTAATCTAAAAAAATTCTACATTTTTTTATAGGAACTCATTTAAACAATTAAATAGTTTTATAGGAACTCATTTAAACAATATATTAATTTAATAGGAACTCATTAAAACTTAATTACTTTGATTGAAAATATGAGAAAAGCACCCTTGTTTTTTATAGCAAACCCAGGAACTTTGAAATTCAATTACAAGAGAACCATGGCCGACCGCCAAATTCTTATTGCACGTAAATTCTTAAGAAATCGCGGTCCATCGAGGATAATTTGTTCGCGAATTTCGGGGGTGAGCCCGCTAATGTATAGTATTACCGTTTCAAATAGTTTTCGCTCTTAAATTAGCAAACACAGCACTCTTAATTAAGATAGGTTTAGTATTAGTTTCTTATCTGAAAATCTACTTTTATTTTAATGTCATTCCTTTAAATATTGAGTTTGCGCCTCCAATAACATTTTATTTTTCAATGCAGGATGAGACAAGTAGTTCCATAACTGGTGCCCTGATAAAAACTATTAGTAATTACCGAAAGGGTCTTAAAGTCGTTCACCTAAATGCACAAAGCTTACTTAATAAAATATATGTGTTCAGATTCATTTTTTTCCAGTCAAATGTAGATGTGATATGTGTGTCCGAGACGTGGTTTTTGCCTAATTTATGTGATTTGTCAATTGTTTGTGATGGTTATGTTGTTTATCGTTCTGATCGTATTGGACGGGCCGGCGGTGTTGCTATATATGTCAATTCGAAATTAAAATGTAGTGTTAAATGTAAACAACCAAGTGAATGTCCGATTGAATACATTTTTTTAGAAATTACAAATAGAGTATATGGGAAACTTCTTTTGGCTGCATATACAGACCCAACCGTACCATCGACTATGAGCCAATACTCAGCGTTATCGCAGATATTTCGCTGTTGTACTCGGACGTCATACTGGCAGGCGATTTTAATAGCAATCTGCTGAAAGAGAGCCATCTTTTGAATGGTTTTGAATCCCTTGGGCTGTATAGCGCTAATGAAACATTGCCTACACATTTCTCCAATATCTGTAATACACTTCTTGACTTATTTCTTGTTAATGACCGTACTAAAATTTTACTTTATGACCAGGTTTCTCTACCAGCTTTTTCCAGACATGATTTAATATTCTTGACCTATGACTTGACCTTCGACTATCAAACGACTTCTTTCAATTACAGAGACTATAAGAACATTAACCTAACAGGACTTCAGCTTGAATTTACAACTTGTGACTGGTCATCCATTTACTAAACTTCCAATGTTGATTGTCAATTGCATGTTTTAAATAGTAATGTCCAGTACCTGTTTAGCAAATGTGTGCCGTTAAGAACTAAAGTGATTAAGCCGATGCAAAATCCTTGGTTCAATAACGAAATTAAAAATCTAATCTATCAGCGAGATGTTGCCTACCGCAAATGGAAGCGTTACAAAACTGAGGACTTTAGAAACAATTACAATGAGGCTCGAGCAATTGTTAATAAAAAGATTCATTCTGCTAAATGCAGATTTTATAAATCCAAATTTGAAAAATGCTCTTCTGCTAAGCTCTGCTGGGCCGAAATTAACAAGTTAGGAATAGGAAAATGCACACAGAAGACTGAACCAAACGCTGATGTCGAAAAACTTAACCAAAAATTTTCTGAAATTGATGAACCTGAAGCGACATGCAATACGTACCTGAATACTGTACCTATCTGTGATAATAGTTTTAGCTTCATGTGTGTCAATTCGAGTGATGTCCTTGCTAGTATTCTTAAGGTAAAATCCAATGCTGAAGGCCTCGATAACATAAGCCCTAAATTTATTAAATTGTTACTACCCATGCTGTTGTCCCACGTCACCCATATTTTTATACCCTTGTAGAGGGTATTATAATTTCAGTCAGGTGTTTGCAACGCAGTGAAGGAGACGTTTCCGACCACATAAAGTATATATATTCTTGATCAGCATCACTAGACGAGTCGATCTAGCCATGTCCGTCTGTCCGTCTGTCCGTCGGTCCGTCTGTCCGTCTGTCCGTTTCTATGCGAACTAGTCTCTCAGTTTTAAAGATATCGCGATGAAACTTTCCCGAAAGTCTTCTTTCTATTGCAGGTAGTACATATGTCGGAGCGAGCCGAATCGGACCACTATATCTTAAGGCTCCCATAGGAATATTCAAAGATATATAAGAAAATTCATTGTTACTTTGTAGGAAGTAGGCGTTTTAATTCTTGACTCTTTAAAAACAAAATTCAAAAATAGAAACGCTGAATCTGGAATCCCTGGAACTGCACCGAGTGAGCATTACTTTATCTGCAAGGGTATATAAGCTTCGGCTGGCCGAAGGTAGCTTCCTTTCTTGTTAATACTGTAATAACTAAGTGTTCGTTCCCTACAGTATGGAAAAAAGCAAAGATTCTTCCAATTCCGAAACCAAATAACGACTTCAGACCCATATCAATACTTCCCTTCCTGTCAAAAGTTCTTGAAAACCTTATGTCCTCCCAAATACAAACTTTTTTGCACGACAATTCACTGTTACACGACAAACAGTCTGGTTTCCGAAGGAAAAGAAGTTGTATTAGTGCCATTACTGATATTGTGGAAGATGTCAGGCAGCAGCTTGACAAAAATTGTGTTACATTTTTGACTCTTCTTGATCACAGCAAAGCCTTTGATTCGGTGAATCACAACATACTGTGTGCAAAACTCCAAAATATTTTTAACTTTTCGAGCACAGCGGTCAAGCTTGTTCAATCCTACCTAACAGATCGAGTACAAGCTGTAGTCTCCGGGATCAATATCACCACCTTTAGGCAACTTACAAGGGGAGTACCTCAAGGATCTGTGTTAGGACCATTGTTGTTTTCTATTTATGTGAATGATTTACCGAGTGTCTTGTCTGAATGTGAAGTACACCTATACGCTGATGATGTCCAAATTTATGTTAGTAACCCTGTCAAGGATATAAATGTGTGTGCCAGTGTAAGTAACAAAATGTTATCCATAATTGAGAAGTGGGCTAACAATAACGGCTTGGGAATAAATCCAAAAAAATCAAAGTGTATCGTAATCAGTAAAAGGGTGATCGACACAAGTGTTCTCCCAAAATTATATATAAATAATACAGCTATTAGCTATGAAGATCATGTTGTAAATCTTGGCATAACCTTTAGAAAAACCTTATCATGGAGCATGCATATAGCTAAAGCAACTGGTCGCACATACGGTTTGTTGCGTCAGCTTTCAGCATCAAAATCATTTGTACCAGAACAAATAAGATTATTAATCTCTAAAGCCATTCTTGTTCCCACTCTCTTCTATGGCATAGAAATTTTTGGTCACTGTGATGTGCGTGATACGCGCACACTAGTAGTTGCCTTCAACGCAATTGTCCGTTATGTGTTTAATTTAAGACGATATGACTATGTATCACATTTAACTTATAAAATTCTTGACCTTAACTTGACCGACTGGATAGATTTTAGAACTTTGGTATACTTTCACAGGATTGTGACGACTCGAGAACCGATATACCTATATCGGAAGCTATTTCCTGCTACATCCCAAAGAACAAATAATTACCTATGCCCTCGTACTTTAACGCTTTGTTCGAAGAGGCAGTTTTTTATTAACAGCATCCGTTTATGGAACAATCTTCCCCATCAATTCAAAACTATTAGGAGCGCAACTCAATACTCAATTAAAATTAAACAATTTATAAAATCACAATAAAAGTAGAAAAAAGTAATAATAGGTAAAAAATCATAAAAACGTAAAAAAGAAAAAAAAAACAAATAAAATAATCAAAATAAAAATAACAAGAGAGAACGCTATAGTCGGGTGCCCCGACTATCAGATACCCGTTACTCAGCTAAAGGGAGTG